AAGACGGGAGAGAAGGGCACCTAGCTGGGGGACCTAGAAAAAGAGCGCAAGCCAAACGGACACCAGCCACCAACCTGATGCTGAATCCCGTGAAAGCAGATGCCATGATTCCCGATGTGGGAAAGTGAACCTGACTGGGGATGACCATCGCTCCTACTGATGGACGAATTCCATTTCGCATCACCTAAAAAAAAACTGGGTTACCATGATTCCCCGGGAAATACCAACAAACAATTATTTCCCATGGTTTCAAAGTGGTGCAGGAATTCGTCCGCCCACAGTATCACCTTCGTTTCTTGGGCGCCAGCTGTGGAAAACTGGTATAGTTTCCGTAGCAAACCCGTAGAAATGCAATTCAAAAGTGCGTGCCTTTGGTAGCGTCCATAAGCTCGACCTTTCCCATCAAAGCTCCAAACAACCGACTTTTTTGGGGGGTCAGGATTTTGTGCCTTAGCATTCGCCCCCGGCTCCTTGTCACCATCGGCAGACCACTTGCAGCGCCATTCGCGGGCGATGTTATCAAACCTCGCTGGGCAAAGACTGCCTTTGGAGCCCGATCCTTCTGTTTGAAAACAGTTTCAAAACGCAGGGGGCGTTCAAATCCCTGGCAGAGCAAACTCCCCATGTTCTGTGTTGAAACCAAAAACTAAACATTGGAACCCAAACAACTCAACAACAAAAACAAAAAGAATAACAAATAACACGGCCAAGAACCGTGAAGTTGGCAGCAGAAAAGGCTGCTTCTTGAGAAGAACGAGTGCTCAATTCAACAAGATGGAGATTCGACCCCTAAACGCGTAGAAGTCAACGCGGGGTCGTCAGTGTATCAACTACGCAAATGGCGGTATCGCACACTGTGATGGACCTCCCAAACTTCTAGACAGAAGTGCGGAGACCTCTGTTGAAAACCCACTTAGTTTTGGATCAGCGGCCTCTGTGCAACCATGAGATGATCTCTCCGGTCGATCCCTCATGAGTGCCAATTGGTCTGGGACATGGCTTGCGGCCACAATCTGCCAGCACACTCCTTGCAGGTCTGCAGTGGCTGGTCACGAAACTGCCTGCTTCTCTCAGTGACACTATCTTTGGTGCTGTAGATCTCCCTGCACAAAGGCTAACTTCTTGCTGGTCAAAAGGAAGTATGAGGGGAATCCAAAAAGTTAAAGTCTAAAGATCCAACCCAGCAGTAGAGTTATATCTGGTCAGAATCCTCAAACATGGGTCACGACTTCCCGTGAGGCAGCCCCCACCAGTGCGCGATCATCCAACTCCAAGAGTGCCAGATATACAAAACTTACGGCAGAATTGCAAACAAATGCTTGTCATGGCCTATGACATATGAGTACATTGCGCCCTTGGTGGCAGAGGGAGTGTCTTTTGTTAGGAGACCTCCCCCCAAACAAAGGAAAGGAAGAAAGAAAGAAAGAAAGAAAGAAAGAAAGAAAGAAAGAAAGAAAGAAAGAAAGAACAAGTAGTTTTCCTTTTGGTTTCCTTTCAAAACCATCATCACAATGAGTCTCCAAGAACCTCCCTTGGATTCCTTCTCTCAAGGCCCCAGGCCCAACCGACTCGATGTATGTCAGGCGACCCAAATGCTTGAAAACAGATTCGCACAAACCCAAAGCTCTTTTCGGACAGGAAGACCCTCAAGAGCCGGGGATCGGACCTGACTGGTATCAAAATCAACTGGGAACAGGTGTCGCTGGATTTCTCCGAAGGTTGAAATTGAGTAGTGGATTCCATGGAAACAACCCTAAGCGAAAAATCAAGTTTCACAACACGACACTCACTTTCTCAGTGAATTGGCACAACAAAAACCCAAACTTTGTTTTACGTCTTCCAAACAGGTTTAAAGTCCAAGAACTCAGGGAGCGACAGTGGGGAATCAGTGAGACTCCTGGCCCCCAAAACGATCCTTGCGAAGCCGTGCTCGGCATGTTCCAAGCTGTCAACCCATCGATCCCCCCGTTCCGCACAGAACCGGTGCCCCGCATGCCGACAATATGCACAAAAAACCGGGATCAACCTGCATCAATACTGTGGATGGCGGCAACATCTCTTCGCACCACATGAAACCATGGTTCAAACCATTATTGTTTATTGACAGCGGAATTATCATGCCGGGGTTTCACAAGTCATGCGAACGGATTTCATCCATCCGCAGCAGGAACTCGGCAATAGTGTTTGTTGCTTCTCGTTCTGCCAGCGTCAGAACCCTAAGCTAATATTAACCCCCGTTCAGAGTTCGAGCCGTTGCTGGGCCCTCTCATTCTTGACGCGGATGGATCTCCAAATTTCACCCTGAAAACAAGGACACCGAAGAAAGGAATTCCAACCTACTTGCATCCCCAAGTATATTGGAAACCAAATGCCAGAGGTGGCAAAGCCCCCTCACAACTGAGGCCGCGTGGCTTCACGGACTTGGTGATTTCGGGCATGGCGGCAAATCGCTCGGGTTGATCTCACCCCAAAACGCGCAAGGCTCGAGCATCGACACGCATCGAGCGCGGAATGGAGAGGCTCTACGCTGCAAGATGGTCCAGGGGTGAGCTAAATGGGTGTGGTCCCTTTTAAGGGACCCCCCAAAATTGTGGCTTTCCTTTTGAGACACACTGTAAACCGGTACCCTAAAAACACACACACAGACAGATCGCTGGGTTAACCCTATGGGTTGTTGAAAATGGGGAGCCCGAGCCGCCTTGGTATCAGGCTTAGCAATTGAGCTTGAACAGACCTGTCTACTTTCCCTACTCTTTCCGATCCTTGCTTTCCGCAATTGGCAAACTCCAAAAGGAACCCAAAGGCCAAAGGCTCCGTGCTGGGACAAACGCTCAGGAGGGGTGTAAGTGGGGAAGTCCATGACCCAGAAAACATATTGGGGCAAGGTAAAGAGATCCCATGGCGTCTTTGCCATGTTGACACGCCCCAATTGCCCTATAGGTCTCGTTTGTGCAGGTGAAGAACATGCGGTGTCCTGCATCGCCAAGGTTGCGGCCCCTCCAAGGGGGCACCTTGCAATTTCCGTGGGGCTGGTTGAAGATCCTGAAACCTGGCCTGGAAAATACATGCGGCTTACTCGGAACAAAAACTGGGTGTTCTCTTCTTGGGAATTATGCTAGTCAGCTCTGTGTGCTGTCAAACAATATCGTAGCTGATCATAGGCAGCATTACACACTCGAATACAGACTAGTCAAAGGCACAAACTACAAGCAAGTCTATCAACTAAAACTACCCCGTAAAAGACTGAGTGGCGCACCATAGAAATGGGGAATGAACAAAACAGCAACTAGCAAAGTCCCATGTCAAACGTGGCTAATGTGGCAAAAGCCAACACTCAAGTTCACGTTGAGAATTTGGGCACATTGTACAAAAATCACCAACTAGACACAAGAACTGGACTTTCAAAACAGGAACGAAAACTTCTGACGCAGCCAGCGAAATGAGTCGGTCTAATTTTTGCCGACGCTGCCCTGAGGCATTCTAAACCATTTTCTACAGGACGTGGCCCTGAACACACACACGTGCACGCACACACACACACACACGTCCAAGGGTGAGCTTCTCCATTTTCGGGGAGATTGGTCTCTCTGTACGAATGGGGAATGACTCGGGCAATGTAATTTGTAGCACTCAATCCAGGGCCGTCCCAACCAATTGCACCATTCAGAAATAGACCAACCCAGAGGGTCGCAAAGGGTACCTTCTGAGGATGTACCAAAGAGGGGTCCAAAATGGGTCAAAGCACAACCTCAGCGATCAAACAAACTCGACTAATACTAATCCAGGAATGTTAAATTGAAATAATCAATTCACCTTTAGAAAGAACATCATCTACTTTAGGGGGTGCCTTTAACCAAAGCTGACCCAACTCTTGGCGGTTGTGTCTCCCTATAGTATGAGGGGTGCTCTGAACCTGTAAGCTGGTCTCATCGCTGAAAACAGCAAAAGGCAACAATCTGAGTGAATTATAATATTTCACCTACCTGAAATAAGGTGGTTGGGGGGGTTATTCCCCACATAAACCACCATTTGGGGTGAGGTCGTGTGAGGTCATTATAATTCACCCAGAACAACTGCTCCGGATAGGCCTCTCACCACCATTCGCCCGGCACTTCCCCCGTCACGAAAAAAACATTCCCCTAAAGTTCCGGAATCCAAAAAACAATTACATTTTGCAAACAGGCCATTAGGAGTTCCCAAGAAAGAAACTCGCTGTCAGGCATCATACGGTGAAGCCCTAAATCTTGCAAGGGAACCCACCCACATCCAACCAGGTCCAACCTCATTAACGTCAAAATCCGTGCAATTGCATGCGTAGTGACCATATGGGTGTACCTTTTTGGGGACCCCGCCCATTTTTGTCAAAATATAGCAAAGTGTGGTTTCCTGTTGGTTTCCCTTTAAACCAACCCTCAAAATGCTACCCTCAAAAAAGCCACACACCCCGTCCCCTTCAGGGAAACCACAGGGTTTCGGGACCTTCTTCCCCAAAAAAAGTGTCGGGCACCGAAGTGAACACGTTCGCGCGAGATTTCGCATCGCCTTCTTTTTACATGCGGACTGGTGTCTTTCTGGCACAGATAGATAAGCCCATGGCAACTTTTCAGGTCATGTCATCACGCACGCCCCAGAAAGAGAAGAAACACATGTGGAAGAAAGAAAATACTAAAACATGTAAGCAGGGTTGGCCATTTGAACCCGTCGAGAAAATCAAGGGACACCCTCGAAAAAAAGCTTGTAGACTTTCAGGGTTACTCTCGTACCATGATCAAAGTGAACTGCGCAGGCCAGCAGATGCTCGAAACTACACCCTGGGTTGCCATTTTAATCCCGTGTTCAGCTTGTTCAATCAATATCAACGCCAACCCCAAGTAGCAGGTTTGAGGCAGTTTCTAACGTTGACTGCCCAAGAAGGCAGAAGAAACATCACGGGCCCAGCACACATCACTGAGTTGTAAATCTCTTGAGTTGCCCGATACCCAAAAAAGGCAACTGGGCTCCTCCATCCGTCGCCGGTGCCCTAAAATGACACAGGGTCTGTCGAAACTGAAGCCTGTAGACAATTGCTCTGTCTTTGTGCAACAACTCATCGCAAGGCCAGAGCACCTTGGACAAAACGGAATGCAAGGACAAATAGCTACCTGGACCCTCAAACTACCCAGACAAAAGGTAAATAACCCCGTTATTTTGGGGCAATAACCATTTTTTAAGGGAATTGTGAGGGTCCAGGTACATTTCACTAGCCCGAAATCCGGAATCCCTTAGTCCTGGCCCACATCTGAGATCCTAGCAATGCTAGGTGACCTTTTGTCAAAATGGCCAGGCCCGGTAAATGGGGCATAAAACCAATCTAACCCATCTATTTCTAACCAAAGTTAACCTATGCTAGCAACAGTACTTAGCTCCCTCTTGAAAAGACAATTTGAATACTCCAGCTTTCTAAAGACTCCCTTCCAACCACCCCGTGTTGCAAAACAAGTCTCTGGCACTGAATCGAATCGTGGCACAAGCGAATGGCTCACGAATCGGTGCATCGATCCGCGCGAGATCTTCCTTGGACCGGGTCCGACAAGCACCAGGGGGGTAAACAAAAGCAGCAAACAAAGAACCAACCCCAAGGAACTAAAGCACAAAGTGCCTACCAAACCAAGCGAGAAAAATGTGGGTACTTGGGGCTGAAGAGCCAGGTTCGTAAGCGGTTGGCCACTTGGGCCCACTAACAGGGTTAATTAAATCCACATGCAAGCATCTCCAAGTTGGAGACCTTCACGCATGCTTTAACTCCACTTGCATGAGCTCATGCCCCAAGTCCTGATAATTTGGAGAACCGGTTGAACCCAAACGGTTCCTGGGTATCTTCTGAGGACGTGAGGGCTCAAAAAGGGTCAAAGTAACCATCCGCCTCACCCCCTAAGCCACCGACTCGACGTCTCCTCTCTATACCTGACCGATTTTTCACAAAGAGAAGAGAACAAAACCGAAACACAAAGAAACAGAGAAAGCTCCAGCATATTCTTAGTGCCCTTCAAATAAGGGCACTTGACGTGTCTTTGAATCGAGGGCACATAAGGCTGTGTCGGTGTCCTAAAGGTTGGGCTCCTGTTGAAATCGAACAGCTACCCGTGTCGAAGTGTGACAACTGCCACATTTGATTGGGGCGGACTTGGAATGGCCCGAACATGGCGTGTTGGGATGTCAAAGGATGTCATTTGAGTATCAGTGGGGGTGCGAATCGAGGTCACTGCCCCCTTGAAAAGGTCACTTATGCATCCTACCCGCGTGAGTGTCATTTGCGTGTCGTTGCGGATCGATCTGCCGGGACTGCGCGGTAGCGTCGGTCCCCCTCCCCCCCGTGTGAGTGTCATTCTCATTCACGTGTCGCTGCGGCTCCATTTGCCCGATTCTGCTGCGGAGGGCAACCCTGGGGTTCTGAGTGCCCTTTACATGGCTTGAGTGACCTCTTTGATTTAGGACTAGTTGACCTTATGTTCAATGCATCAAAGAATCGAGGGCACTGACAAAATGCTGGAGAGAAACAACACAAAACAATCCGCCCACCGGCTCAGCCCGTTCAAGATTCCACACTGGGATTATGCCCTTGTTGTGATTTTGAAGAAATGGTCTGGCTGATTTTCCCGTTTTTTGCTTGCACGTCTCACCTGCTGCGGGACCTGCCTCAACCCTCAAACCACCCAGTAAGAAAGGTTGGATTCACCAACCAGAATGCTGGCTGGCAACAACCCTTTTTTCTAGGTAGTTTAAGGGTCCAGATGGAAAGGTGATCGCCTTTTGGTGCCATGACCAAACATGGGTTTCAAACAAAGGAACCCCAAAGGCCAAAGGGTCGATGCGCTCGCGGATCGATCTTGAAAGACTCACCTAAGCTGTGGCGGGGAGTGATGGAGGATCTGAGGATTGCCCACAGAGAATGCAGCTCAATATGTTCTTTCCCGTCCTGGCGGCAAAAAACTCGAAACTCCAACTGGGTGAAAGTAGCCCCTCAAAATAAAACCTGGAACCAACCCCCCCCCAAAAAAAAAAAACGGAAAGAAAAAGGAATCTCCTCTACAAGCCCAGGGAGTTTCTTGGGGGCCTCCTCCAGGGTGTAGGTCTGAGTCTCCACGGTGGAGATGCCATCGATGCCCTTGAGCTGCTTCAAGAAGGACTCCTGAGGGCAACCTGCTGCTTAGAAATAGAAAACTCGGGGTTTCGCTGGGTTTAATACATGGAACCATACCGGTTTCTGCTGGGGCATGGGGCATATCGATATGAAACAAATCATACGCAAAGTCTGTCATAAACGTCATACATCTATAGTCCTCCAGTAGAGAGGTTAGAATATGGGTACCCGATAGTTTTTTGTCTTTTGTTTCTTTCTTCTTTTTTCTTTTTCTGTCGTCTATCTTAGTAGGGGAACCCTCTCCCCAAGAAGTTTGTTAAAGGGCACTACTGGGGGCCTAGTAGAAAACCCACGGGTTCCGCTGGGAACATAGATTCATAGATGGAACCATACGGTTTCGGAATCAAACATCAGAAACCAGGAAATTTCTGAACTGTGCGAAATGGATTTCCATCAAAAATAGGTGACCTTCTGCTTAGATTTGGGTTTCCCTGGTAAATTGATGGTATAAAATCCATCTGAACCAGAACCCATCTATTCGATCCAAACACCTATGGTTCGACTCTTCAGTTGACCAACTTTAGGTGACCTCGCCGAACAAACAAAGGATTTTAAGGGTGGAATCCACCAAACAACTGGAAAACCCGTTGGACATCAGCCCAAATTAATGCTGTGATTTACCATGTTAAGGGTAGTTTGAGGGTGCTGGTAGGCTTTCTTTCAAGCAGGGGTGCCGGCAATCCAACTTATATATACAAAAATATCAACTCGCTGAGCTCAAATACCAAAAAACAGCCAACCGTGTTTCTTTCCGCGACCAGAAGATTGAGAATTGTCCGTGGGGAGGTCCCCAAAAACCAGAGGGATTGCTCTGGTACCTTCTGAGGATCGGAGGAGCCTCATGTTTTTGTTTTTTTTTGACACCGAAAGTGGTTCAGTCCCATAAAAAAGTGACTCAAGTCCGTTTTCCGGACTTTAGGACTTTAGGGGGTGAGACCCAAGCAACGCCCCTGAACTTTTGAATGGGCAAATTGGCTTGGCGTTGCGGCGCCCACGCCTCGGGCTCGAACTTGGCTTCCTCCCAAGAGCCGAACTTGTCCGCGGGAAGCTTCACCACCACCTCTCCCCAGACTTTGGGAAGGGCTTGGTCCCCCATTCTGTTCAGTCGTTCTTTGGTACCTTTGGTTCCCCATTCTGTTCAACCGTTCTTTTCAGAAACCGATCGCTGTTTTCCCAAAGATTTCCATTCTACCATCGTTCTTTTCAGAAACCGATCGCGGTTTGAACGGCTGGGATTCTGGATCTAGAAAGAAAGATCCTTGGAAAGAATGGGGAAGGTGCCCGTAGAGCACCTGGAGTCTCCATGCCCCTAAAATGGGGTCGGGCACGTTGGTCCCCGAAGGTGATCACCTTTTATTCCCAGGTGTGCTTTAAAGGGGCAACTGAGTATTTTATCAGGGCTATATTCCTGGCTTTCTTCATAGCTTTCCAAAACGAAAGCTAAATACTGTATGACCCAGGTGCATCACTACTGGAGTGGACCCCCAGCTAATCCGATCTAATCCAGTGAAAACTCTTACTCGCATAATGAACATCCATTTCGCCAACCCTGTGCCATCTAAGACCGGGTTGGGGGGAATGTGGGTCAAGAGCTTCAAACCTTTGGATGCGACCAGCGTCCTGAAAAAGACATCAACCCCAACCTTCGCTCCCGAAAATCCCGAAGTGAACTTAGGGCTTACCGCCATGGCTGAGATTCTTCTTCAGCACCTGCCAATCTGCTTCGCCGCAGCTCCGTTCTACGGTGGATGGTTGCGAAACCCGCTCGCACCACCGTTCGGAAACCCTGGAATGCTTCCGTTCCGCTGTACATGCCGATCAACAATTGGGTTCTGCAAGGGGCAGACTCCCGAACCCGGAAAACACGTGGGTTTTGTGCGTGTCTCTTTTTGAGGGGGAGCCCCTTTTATGGTTGGTTTTGAAGGGAATCCAAAAGGAAAATAACGGACCTCTCTAGTTTTCAGACACCCCCAATATCCAACATAGGTTGATTAAAAGGTCCAAAATGCGTGGGTTGACTACTAGGAAGCCGCCACAAAAGATGCCTTTCACCACACGGGACAAGTTACCCATGGTCATTTTAGGGCCGAAGGGAACATTGATCAGGCTGTGACCTCTAGGGGTGTAAGCCCCTTCCCAAACTGCGGTCAAGGCTGTTGTGTTGGGAGCAATTTAGCCGGATTTTATATAGTATATATATATATACTACAGTGGTATCTATGCTGTGAGGCTCATTGTGCATATATATGTATACACATGGGGCAAAGCTTTACGCAAGACTTACCTCGGCCTTGAACAGTTCCAGGGGAGCAGAAGGTCTCTCAACCGGAAAAAAAAAAAAAAAAAAAAAAAACGCGTCCGAGTGGGTTTGGAGTCCGGTTTGGAGGTGGGTTCCAGGCTGGGTGTTATATTCAGAACCAGGGGCCCTTTGAAATCCAACTCCAAACCACTTCAAGGGTACCAAAAACCGGAACAAAAAGGTCTCAGAAGAACATTCAATGCCAAAATCTGGTTTCAAGAGGAAGCTTACGACCACGGCAATCCTCCCAACTGATTGCCGGGATCAGGATCTTCAGGACCCCTAAACTGGCTTTAGGGAATCCCTAAGGGGGGTTGGTCCAAGAGCCGGGGGACGGGAACCTGTAAAAACCATTCATCCAAAGAAACCTGGAACTCTCAACTACCCACCTCCATGTACCTACCCCGCTTAGGGAATCCATATTGGTTGTAGCTCGCCCACAGAACATTTGGGAAAAGCCAGCAGAGACTGGGGCTTTGAGCATGGATGGGTGAAGAATACCCTTCCTTGCGCCGGCTATTCCGAAACGAAATTGGTTGGCCCAACTCTGGGCTTCACAGAAAATAACATGTTTACGCCATGTGTCATATCCCAAACAATCCATGTGTGTTATATTTACCAATACGCCTTTGTGACCTCTCAGAGCAGCATTGCAGGCCGCTCAGGGCCATTTGGCTTTTCGGATTCTATGACTTTGTCAGACGCCAATTGTTAGCGTGACCGAGCCTGGTTTGGCGCGATTTGGTATGATTACCGGACTGAATCTAGCCAAACTTGACATACATTGGGGCCAAATGTGTGCCATGTTTGGGGTACATTCATCTATGACCATGATTTGGCATTGTTTTCTCCAGCGAGAAATGTCGAAAGTGAATTTTCGGATTTGTCGAACTCATCGTGTTGAACGTATGCTCCTCAGACCAACATTTGGTCTATTCACATCAATGTTGCTTACCAGGCCAACGTTCGTGCATCTGTGCAACATAGCGCTAAAATTGGAGTGCGTGCCTGGGTATTGTGTTAACCTAAAGCCAAAAACAAGAAGTGGGAGTCATCATAGAAACATTTCAACGATGCGAGTCGGCTCAAATGGACCTGAAAATTAAACTGGCGACCTCCCAACCAGAAGGAACACGGGAAAATGGGCCCCTTAAAAGTCTTGGAACTGGTTCCTGTGCAGGTTCGATGTTTCGTTTCGGGGGAGGGCAACTGAAGTTGCGGGACCTTTGAAATCGGCCCCGTCACTTTGCCATGATCAAAGTGACTTTCCCTCGGGGAAACAGTCAAGACGTCGCAACGTGCCTTGAAGTCAAGGCAGCCGCCGCAAACCACCCGCTGCACGCTCTGAACCCCGTCCACCTGTAGCGTTCGTGGGCAGGAATTGAAGCCAAAGAAGTTGCGAGTTTCTAGAATGCAATTGAGTTTGAATGACCCTATCTTCTTTTGAAGGTACCATTGTCTGTTTGGTTTTGGAAGGACACCAACCGGAAAACCGCCATTTTGCAGGGCCTCTAAAAACGGCACACCCTATACTTTCAAGAGGCATGGCGACTTCCGGAAATCCTTGGTGATCGCCTCGGAACTCCCCGTTGCGGGTCTTTAAAAACTCAGGCTTGGCTCAACTCCGCCGTAAATCCTCCCTCACCTCCGGCGAAATACTTGCCGACTGGACCCCAGAGGGTCCCTGAAAAACGAAAAACGGTCCTAACCAGGACCGATTCCGCAACGTCGGGCTCCATAGCAACCAGGGTGGGAGAGTAGCTTATGACGTTGTTTCGCAGGAAAGTTGCCGGCAGCCCTGAACAAATTCCAACAGAAAACTCCCGCAACCTAACCCCAAAACGAGAGTTACCTTCCACAGCTTTAATCCAGGACCCCCTGACATGTCCTTTGGTGGAAGGGTGAAAGTGTGCTGAAAACCATTGCTTTCGGCTTTGCTTAGTGTTCCGCCCATGAGCAAAGCGATGTGTTGAGCTCTCAGTTTACTGCTCCGATGGCTTTTCAGACGGCGGGCGCGCAAACCACGAAGCCTTGCAGAACTGGAGCCTTGTGGAACCCTTGTGGAATCCTTGTGGAACTCTGTCGAACCTTACCTCAGGCCCGCCCCGGACCTTCCCGCAGCCCTCGCCTGGTGGAACCCACCGCACAGGAAGACAACCAAGACTACTGGGAAACACAAGGTGAACACTTAGAACAACTCCCTTCACTCCAACAGATGGACCAGGACATCCACCAATCAGCACACTTGAACCCCACAGAACTACAATCACTCACAACAACTTTGGAGAAGTTTCACAACGCAAAGATGACTGGACAGTCATAGGCAACGCAGCACTACCATTTCAATGGAAAGGAACAACAAGGTTCACCGTGAAGAAAGAGGAGGAGGAACAACACGAGGAGGAGGAACAACACAGGAGAACCACGAGGAGGAACAACAACACGAGCATCATGAAGCACACAGAGCAAGAGGACTACGACAACCACAGCCGCCAACTCCACAACAAATAGCAGAACACAATCTTACACATCTACCATACAGAAACTGGTGTCCAATTTGCGTTCAACGCAAAGGACGCCAAGACAACTACAAGAAACAACAATCACGACAACCCGTCATTCAAGTAGACTTCGCCTACATCAAATCACAACAAGACCCAAAGACCACACCAGTACTGACCGCAGTTGATGTTACTACACAACTGTGTATGGCAGTAATGGTCCCGGACAAACCATCAATGATGGACTACATGGTCAACAACCTACAAGCATTCATCTTCGAGTGCGGAAGAACACAAGGCATACTACAAAGCGACAACGAAGACACACTCAACGCGCATCTAAAAGCTACAGCAGCAAAAGTCGGCTCAATGACTGTTAGGCACGCACCCTCCTACAGCAGCAACAGTCAAGGAAGTGTTGAACGACTACACCGACAGGTACGCGTCGTCAAAGCGCAGGTTGAAAGCAACTACAGCATGACAATGTCCCCGAAACACTGTCTACTACCTTGGATAGTACGACATGCAGCATGGACGGTGAATCGCTACGTCATCCTGGTGGAACCCTGATGTGGAACTCTGGTGGAATCCTGGTGGAACCCTGGTGGAACCTTTGTGGAACCTCACTTCAAACCACACCGAACCACCCCGCAGCCCTTGCAGAACCTGGTGGAACCCTGGTGGAACCCTGACAACCTTACCTCGCAGAACCTGGTGGAACTCTGGTGGAACCCTGGTGAACCCTTGTGGAACCTTACCTCAGCGCCGCCCCGGACCACCCTGGAGCCTATCTGGGCTGAGACCCCAAAACTTGATTTACAGAGAATTACACTGGTCTGTATAGCCCAAAAAAAGGCTTGTCTCCTTCATGTAAGGTGCGAACTTGTGTAGCTTGTGTGAGCAACACATAATTACAATCAGTCCATGTATGTTTCTGCAGGAAGTCCTTTTTTTGGGATGAGGACACATCGGGTCCATCCATCTCCTTGACGCCGGGTAAAAGCATCCATGTTGTTCATCGACTTCGAGGAGAAAATTCCATGTCAATGCCATGTTCGAGAGTGAAGGCCCCGGGGATTTGGGGTGAATCAACCTAACACCTGGCATTAATCAAAGGAAGTTTCGAAGGAACTTTCGTAGTACGGACACTCAATGAACTTTTCCATCACCGCAGCATTTGGCGGCCGTCTCGCTACTCTGCTGAAACTTGCGCATCAGTCCCAGCAGCCTGCGGCCGAGACTGGACACATGTCACTTCTGGTTGCTATCTTCTTCTCGAGCTCGGCTAAAGGTCTTGCCACAAGCAAAGCAAGAGAGCACTTGCATAAACTTGCAGACTGCGCCTTGTAGCGTTACGGCCGGGACATCCTCGCCTAGAAACGCAGACACACGCCGCGCCAAATTGGCAAGCGTCAGCAAACGTGCCCGTTTGGCGCGCACCTCTGTCACCCGGCGCAGCTCCAGAAAATCCTCAGCGTTTGAGCCGGCAGTAGCTTGGTCATCCAGGGTCTTCATCTCTGTCGTGCCCAGCGCGCCGCATGCTCCCAAGATGGGCAACGCATGGCTTTGCTCCATGCGCCCAACGCCGCTCCATTCCGGAACAAGCTTGGCTTTGAATGTCAGCTCCAGCCCTGCTCCATCGCGGAAACGTGTGAGAACTTTGCCCCAACCTACCAATGCTGGCTGCACAGTGGACACCACCAGCTTGGCTGGGTTCATCTTGGAGTTGGCGCTTATGGTTCGCAGATTGGTGTTCACATGTGTGGTGAACGACCGGCGGCCGTCATTCCAGTGCACGCCGCTGGCAACAACTTCTGGGCCTCGCGTTCACTCAGCTCAGCTCCAGCAGCACAGTAATCAACTGGCCGGGTTCATGAACTCTTTCCAAGTTGTCAAGGTCAGCGAAGTAGGTTGCCAGGAAAAGGCTCCTATGCATCAACCAAGTTTTTCGAGGAGAACTCGACAAGCGCAGGGACGATGCGAACAACTCTTTCAAGCTAATGGTTTGGTTGGCTTTACGTCCAGGACCATTCTTTCTGGAAACCGGTCAGAAAAAACCTTGGAGCTCGGACCCCCCGTTACGATGCAACAAGGAGATAAGCACGCCTGCTTGACTGTGTGTTCGCTCGTCCCTCTCTGCGATAGCACCAGATCTCCAAGAGCAAGTAACCAGGAAACCACCAAGCCACTCTGCGATTGGCGAAACGGCTCTTGTTGATGGCCCCAGAAAGAAACCATCAAACACGGCGGCGGCGTTAGCAACTCTTACTATAGACTATACAGCCACCGAACATGTGTCGAAACATGGCCATGACCGTGTGTCCTTGTTGCAATCACCACATTGAGCACCAGAGCCGCCATTCCGTAATGTTGCTGGGCAGTTCGAAACGCACGCAGAGTGTCCAGCAGCACCGAAACCTTTTGCTTGAAGGGGTCGGAATCGATGTAGGAGGCGAAGCTGTGTCGTCAAAGAAGAAATGGATGGACCATGTCTGTAGCATGTGTTGGTCTTGATGCTATCAGCACATCCCTCCAGCTTAGTTTCCCGACAAGCCACGTATGCTGCGAGCAAGTACATCAGAATCTCGCCCGGAGCTGCCAAATTCAAGTCGAGATCTCGGAAAAGAACGTTGATTGCAAGAATGAAATGGAACTGCCCGGATTTCCAAAAATACCCACTGCGGGAGGCTAGCACAAGGGTAATGCAATACAGCTCACGTTGACCCCTTTGGTGTTCCATGGGTCCAGAGACTGTAGAGAAGCTAGTGCCGCAGAGAATAGCACCTTACGACGTCCCGCCATGAAAGCCCTTGAGCCCTCGCACTTGCAAGCCCTGGGCACTTTCGGACACCTGCGAAACCGCAGCGTCCATATTGCGGAATATGTGGAAACAAGGCTGAGAAATCTGTTGTCAACCCTTCTGTCAGGAGGCAACGAGATATGTCAAAGCTCCGACCTTGCCATCACGAAGGTGTGAAACGCTTCAGCAAAATGCGTTTGTCAGTGGGACTGGATTACATAGGTTGCAATGAGGACAAAGCGTCGCAGGAGCAGCTAGCGAAGCGAAAGACTGGACATGATTTTGGCCGGGCCACATGGCTATCCAACTGAGAAGGTGCTAAATACTGGCAACAAGATAGGAGGTAAGGTTTGCAACAGCACTGCCAACAAGAAAGGGTGCTCGAACTACAGTGATGCTACCAAGAGGAGACTAGAAGATGGGTGGCCCGAAAGCATGAGCAGCGCACGGCGCCAAGCAATCCTAGCAAGTTCTCTGCGCAAGTTCCTCTGAGCAAGTTGTTGGCGCGAGTTCCTTTGAGCAAGTTTGTCTGAGCAAGCTCTCTGCGCGCAGCGCTTGCCGCTGCAACTTCTAGCGCCACTTGCTGGTGCTACTTGCTAGTGCCACTGGCTAGCGGTACTGGCTCGTGCATCTCGCTAGCGCTATCTTGCTCGTGCTACTGGCTTGCGCCATTTTGCTAGTGGCATTTTGCCAGTGCAACTCGCTAGTGCTATCGCTAGTGCTACTTGCTAACGCAACTTGCTTGCGCAACTTGCTGGTGTTATGCGCTGGAGGTCTTTCCTGCAGCGCCGTTCATACGATTTTGGCTAAGACGGTGGCTGACCCGCACAAGCCCTCTGGCCACTTGGCTGGGCTCTGCTGATGCGCCACAAGGATGCAAACCAGTCAGTTAAGGCCACTTGGCTGGGCTCTGCTGATCCGCCAGAGTGCAAACCTGCACTTGACGAACAAGTGCGGGACTGGCTTCCAAAAAGCAGCTCAGAATCCTGAGCAAAGTAATTGTTTATCGAGAACAAAATGGACACATTTAAGGCTCGACAGGGCTTTGGTGATGCGCCACACAAGGATGCAAACTTGAACTTGACCAAGAAGTGCGGCACCGGCTTTTGAAAAGCAGCTCAGTTTCCTGAGCAAAGCAATCAGCCGGATGTCACGATTCGTTTGTTTAACGACAAGCAAATAAGGCTCGACATTGCTTGTTTCTAGCTCCAACGCTGCTCCACAAGGATGCAAACCTGCACTTGGCCAAGAGAGAGGCACATCCTTTGCACGCAGGCTATCAGCAAAATCTGCGAAATGCCCTGATGCTTCTCAATTGCGCTTGCGAGCTGCTGCCACGTGAGCCGAAGGGAGCCGAGGGGAGCCGAACGCCGTTTACTGGATGCCCAGCAAGAAACACGTTCAGTTGGTTTTGCCCGAAAGCTTCATTTTTCCTGTTGAGGGCTGTAAGCAGGAAAACAGCCAGCTGGCAGCAACGAGCGCCGAGACTGGGAGAAACAGGGGGGAGTCACAGCGTTGTCGGCCTCGGGCATGTACACCACGAAGTTGGAGGCCGTGCCGAGGCGATACCGGCAGGCGAAGAGGAGCTCCCGGCCGGGGGTCAGGTTGTAGGTGCGCACGATGTTCCAGAGGTTCACTGCCAGGGTCAGGGTGTAGCCGTCCACAGCATCTGGCATCTGACCGCAGAGACTGGGGAAGACAGGCGGAAGACACGACCCGCGGAGCCAGCATCGCAGCATCCGCAGCTCGCAGAGACTGGGAGATACGATTCAGCATCAGACACAGGGAGACAAGCGGGAGCGTCTCAGCATCTGGCATCCGACGGCAGAGGGACAAGCGGGAAACACAGAAAGACAAGCGGGAGACACGACCTGGGAGACACGCAGCAGGCGTCACCGCAGAGCCAGCGTCACAGCATCTGGCATCCAGATACAGGGAGACAAGCGGGAGACACGACCCCGGAGCCAGCGTCACAGCATCTGCGGAGACAAGCGGGAGACACGACCCCGGAGCCAGCACCACAAAAACCGGGGGCACCAGTAGGGGGAAGACACAGGGAGACAAGCGGACCCTGGAGCCAGCGTCACAGCATCTGGGGGAGACACGACCCCTGAGCCCGCTGGCATCCGACCGCAGACTGCAAGACAAGCAGGAGACACAACAGCATCACAGCATCTGGCATCTGACCGCATAGACTGGGAGACAAGCAGGAGACACGACCCCGGAGCCGGCATCCGACCGCACACACTGGGAGACACAGGGCGACAAGCGGGAGATATTATGCTGGAGCCAGTACCCGCTGAGAGTGGGAGAGCATCTGGCATCTGACCGCGGAGACAGGGAGACATGTCACAGCATCTAGAATCCGACCTCAGAGACTCGGAGACACAGGGAGACAAGCAGGAGACACGACCTGGCATCCGACCGCAGAGACTGGGAGACAAGCGGGAGACACGACCCCGGAGCCAGCGTCACAGCATCTGGCATCCGACCGCAGAGACTGGGAGACACAGAAAGACAAGCGGGAGACACGACCAGGAGCCAGCATCACAAAAAACGGGAGATGGGAGACACAGGGAGACAAGCGGGAAACACAACCCCGGAGCCAGCGTCACAGCAGCTGGCAGCCAGACACAGGGAGACAAGCGGGAGCCACGACCCCGGAGCCCGCGTCACAGCATCTGGCATCTGACCGCAGAGACTGGGAGACACAGGGAGACAAGTGGGAGACACGACCCTGGAGCCAGCGTCACAGCATCTGGCATCTGAGCGGAGAGACTGGGAGACAGGAAGACAAGCGGAAAACAGGACCCCGGAATCGGCGTCACACTTTCCTATTCTCTATACCTCAAGTTAGAACCCCAATGCTTCGCTGTTTGGGGAAAAAACACATATATTCCTTTCAGCAAACCGAAGTCTGCCAGGAAACCCTCCAAAAGCCTCGTGCCTGACCGCCTCACATGCGGGGATCGCATCGATCCGTCGCCTTCTTCACCTCCGCCAGCACTGAGTCCAGCGCCTCCTGCGCCGCGTCCAGGGAGGCCTGAGACGACAAGAGCGCCCGGGTCGGCGCCGGGACCCCCCCCCCCAAAAAAAAACGAGCCTTGTAAAAAACGAGGTTTTATCTGGCCTTGACCAAAACTTGAGGGGTCTGGTGAACTCAAAGTCTTTTCAAATGGGTAGTCTGAAGGAGGTGGTTCCTGTTTGACTCCCTTTAAAAGTAAAATGGCCTGGTTCAAGGCCACGCGCAAGATGTGCCCCTGGTCACATTGATCAAACCATTGCTTGCCCAAGTGCAGCAATTACCTGCCTCTTGACCGGGAAAAGGTTGGTCATTAACCAAAACAAAATAGGGGGTTATGGCCCCCGATTTTGTAGGAGACTCCAGGTCGGTAAAGGGTGTGACCAACCGAAATCGGCCAACTGAACATTGGGCAGCCCGCTTGACTTCTCAAGGCCGGGTATCCCTTTTAGCCATTTTTACCCCAATCAGGGAGTTGGCAAACCACGAACCATGAGCCGGTAATCTAGGGTAATCTTCCATGTCCATTCTTTCCAGGGATCCTTCTCTTCAGGAAACCATCAGAAACTTAGGGGAAACAGCTAGTTGTTGAAAAGAACGATGGTTGAAACGAATGGTAGGAATCAAACCCGAGAACTACAGGACCTTAAGCCCAAAATCATGCGGACACAAAGGGCCCAGACCTTTCCGCATCCATTTCTGGTGCTCAGGTCTTCAGTGTGGCTCACCTGGTGGGGTTGGCCTCGGCACTCGCCTGAATGTTTCTCAAGGATGGGTTGGTATGTAATAGGGAAACCGAACACCAACCCCCAAGCCGCAGAGAGCGTAACCCCCCCCAAAAAAAAGACACAACAACAACAAAAAACAAAACGGAACAGGACCAAACAGGCATCCAAAACGGCAAGCCACCCCCTGCTACAAAGCGTCCCTATTGGAAACCTTTTTTGCGAGCCCCTTTCTTGAGAATCACTTTCCTGGCTTTCAAACATTAATTACCACCCCCCCATGTCCCTCTGCCTTGTCATTGTCCGCGGACCACTTGCACCGCCATTCCCGCGCGATGTTGTCGAACCTCGGACAAGATGAAGCGTGGTGACCGGTGGGAGTGTACAGGGTTTGAGTTCGCAAACAGGGACTCTTCGTGTTCCTGCAACAAGGCTTGCCCATCACGTGGGTGTTCGGCCAACTTTGTGAGTTGTGAACGTAGGGGCTAACCTTGTTATTCCTGGCCAAGCTAGGCAAATTGCGACCGCGATGAAGGTTCCTTCCACACCCCAAGGTCATTTGCTACCGTAGGAGGCACTTAGACCGCTTCTCAAAACCGATCTCAAAGGGCATAATTTGTACCTGGACCCTTGCTTGGGTGCTCGGCCAAGTTTAGTAAGTGGTTGGCCACTTGGGGTACAACCCCCCAAACACGAATGGGTGTCTCAACATATGGGGAACCCGAAAACCTGACGTTTGTCCCTTTGATTTCCCTGCACACCTAGGGCACCGAGCCTCACAAGAGATGAACCGCGCCCAAACAACCCGCGGCATTTTCCCTGCTCCGTGTTTGAAGGCCAATCTTGAGACAAGAAACACGTGCGGATGGCTCAACTCGGCCCTGAAATGCCCACTCAACAGCCCCAATCAAACTTCACACCCAAATGGATTCATAAAATGTGTCCAATCTAGTGATGATTTCCTTTTGGAACACCAAACAATCCAGAATTTCGAGAAGGGTCCGGTTTTGGGATCATGTTTCGGGATTTTCGTGGAACTGGCAGGTGCGGACCTCCCTTGGTTCCGCTGTTTGACTCGCATTGCGCCAGCGCATGCCAGCGCTGTCAACATCCCCGGCATCGTTTTAACTTGGCGGCATTTTTTTCAACCTCCTCAGCACGAGCTGGCTTTGGTAGGCTGGGTTTAGGGTGGGTTCAATGTTGGCCTAGGGTTGGTTCAGGGTGCGTTCCAGGCTTGTGTTGTATACGGTTTGCTTGGGGGGGGGGGGGGGGGTTCAGGTGGGATTATTAGAGATGGCTTTGTGTTTGTTTAGTGGGCTTAGGGTTGGCTTCGGGTGGGATTGGGATTCCGGATTGGCTTGGGGTGATTGGGGGTTTCGGGTTGGTTTAGGATTGGTTTAGAGTCGGGGTGGTCTAATTGCTGGTTTAGAGTGGCTTTGTGTCAGGGTTTTTTGGGGAATCTTACTGATTTAAGGTTTATTTAGGGTTGGCTTAGGTTTGGTTTTGAGGTTCCTGCATCGTCCAAATCATGGAAATTTAACGCAAAATCTGGAGACTACCAGTTTTTTGAGGGTCTCAGTGAAAAAAGACGGGGTTTTCAAGCTCCAGGTTATCACAAAGCCAAACAACGGCCCTATAAAGAAGCCGGGGATGGGTTGGGGGGGCGGGGGGCGCAGCCCCCCATCCACAGAAACCTGGGAGCCAAGAAGCCACCAACCAAAAATCCAAAAAACTAAAAGCCGGTGATGCTGGGGTGTTGCTGGTGTTGCTGAGGATGTGGGAAGCCGAAGCCACAAAGCCCACAAAGTCACGAAAAACTCGCACAAAGCCACAAAAGCCCAAAAGCCAGCCTGGAAGCTGACAAAAAACAAAAGAAGTCAAAAGCCAAAATGCCAAGCCAAGAAGCCAAGAAGCCTGGAAGCCAAAAAGCCCAGACTCCAAGAAGCCAAGGGCCTAAAAGACAAGAAGCTAAGAATCCAGATCAGGTAAAATCCAGGAAAAAATCCCGAACTAAAAGTGGGAACAATTCCCAACTTCGAGAACCCCAAACGACATCTCTTCAAACGCCCCGAGAAAAAACCCGGGATCCAGTTGGATCCGACCAACTTACAAACTTGGCGCGAAAATGGCGGCCAGGCCGCGAGACCTTGTCGGTGATGGCGGCCCTGCGCGCCACTGCCGCGCACACCGCCAGCGAGCCCAGAGTGCCCACCTCGGCTTTGGCGCCAGGAAAAACAAGTGGCAACCCATCGGATTTTTGACCTGTCCGCCTCAATTCAGTTGTGAAGAGGGGTTAGAACCCTCCTGACTAGGGGTTAATAGGTTCATAGTGGCATTTACGCCCAACTCGATGCCAAGAAGGGTCCAAGTACTTATAAAGTATCCAAAGACCCGTGTTGACCCCCCGCAAAGCATCCTCAAAGCGTGCCAATGCTGTATACCGCACTCCTTGAGACTTGCCAGCCGACCTTGCCCTCTTGGCAGCGGTCAAACCGTTCACATCTCTTGGCGGCCATAAAACCATCTCAAACCAAGGCTAGAGTTTCTGGCATTTTCCTCGGCCCCTATAAATCATCCCATATGGTTTCCTTGAAGGGAATCCCCTTCCGGTTCATTCCCAAACCCTGGGTCATTCCCTGAGCACAGGCAAGGTTTCATTGATACCTAAAACCATCCACCCGAATGGCCAACCCATTTGCACCCGTCCCAGCCAAGGCTCGCCCCACGCGCCCGCGGAGCCCGCCGGCGCCCGCGCCCGCGCCGCTGCCTTTGGTGCTACCGCCGCAGGCCGCGCCAAAGGCGCAACAAAGGCCGTGCCCGCCGCAGCGGCGAGGAGGAGAGCCACCAGGCGCGCCATGGGTCTTTAAACGCCGTCGGGACGGGCGAAGCTAAAGCTGAAAACGGGTAAGCCGAAATGGAGGCGGCGCGGGCCTTGCGGAGACAAGCCGAAAAGGCAACCAAACTTTTGATGTACCACTAAGCGGTTTTTACCCCAAAGGTTGTTTGAAGCCCGGTAGCTCGGGAAGTGAGGCTCTAAGTTGGTTATACAGGTTTATGTTGGGCCTTACTATAAAACATGTGAAACCAGGCAGTAGAACCACCTGGTAAAATGGTCGCCAAGACAAAACATTGGGCACTGCTCAGAGGATAGCTTTGGAGCGGTTAAGAGGGAGTCAGTCAAAGTCTGTTGGCAAGTACTTCGACCTTCAGGGCTAGCGGTTAGGGCCAAACATCCATATAAACCACTGCCAAAACTTGTAGCTGCCGTAATTGACATCACACAATGACCTCAAACTACCCTTTAGAAAGGAAATCACCCCATAAATTTTGGGGCAATATCCTGTTTGTTTGGGGTAGTTTGAGGGTCCGGTACGTCCCCTTTGCGTTTGTGCAAAATCCGTAAGCCCTCCCGATGGCCATAGCCGAGTTGTTTGACCAAACATCATATTCTATCTCACTTGATCGAGGGGTCTGGCCAGAAAAAGTAACCAAACTGTGTTTTTCCACTTAGAATGATCTGATCTTCCCAATAAGTATAAAGTCCAGAACTCGGGGGGTGAGGTTTTGAACAAGGCGTCCGCACGAACCCCAAACAATTGCAGATCGAATGATGACTGGCCAATCCAGGAATTCAAAGTTACCCTTCCTTTTTTCCCCGGGAAAGCGTCTTTCTGCCAGGGGGTTTCATGGCTTATAATACACCCGACAAAGGTTCAGGGACCCAGAAACTGCCACCGTTAAACCGTTCAGGTGGTTGAAGGTATATTTGGGTACTGAGGTTGGGGTATTTTAAGAGAGTTCCTAGGAAGACCTCAGCAAAGGTACCTTGGCTTTGCTGCGGAGGGAGTACCAGAGCCATTGAGAGCGACTGCGTGCGTGTGACCGCGGTGAAGACTTGAGATTTTGTTTGGAATCATGCTATTCACTCAATTTGATCAGAATCGTAGTCTTTTTGTGCTGGGCGGTAGCACAAAAGTACCTGGACCCTCAAACTACCCCCAAAACGGGCTATTGCCCCACCATCATGGGGTGATGCCCCTTTTTTTATGTGTAGTTTGAGGGCCCAGATCCCTTATGAGTAGTTTGAGGGCCCAGATCCCTTATGGGTAGTTTGAGGGCCCAGATCCCTTATGGGTAGTTTGAGGGCCCAGATCCCTTATGGGTAGTTGGAGGGCCAGATCCCTTATGGGTAGTTTGAGGGTCCAGATCCCTTATGGGTAGTTTGAGGGCCCAAATCCTTATGGGTAGTTTGAGGGCCCAGATCCCTTACGGGTAGTTTGAGGGCCCAGATTGGTAGTTTGAGGGTCCAGGTAATTTTCCCGTTCGGGGCTAGTGAAAATGAATTTTCGGGCACCGAGGGATCAGGTTTCCCATCAGCCTTTTGCATGCCGCTTGGTGTCCGGAGCCCTGACTGGGCTGTGAGACACGAGGCTGTTGCCGGAGGGTTTCTCCCAATACGTCCCATTTGCCGAAGATAATACGGCTGTGGGTCAAAGCCAATGGTACCATTTTGGGGTAGGTGCAGCCCCCATTTTAGTTTATTTTATAGGGATTGGGATGTTCACTGGGGGTACGGGCTTTTGACCCATGGCCATGTGTGTTATTTCCCCTGTTGGTTTTAAAGGGAATCCATCACTGGAAATATGTTTTTGCTTCTTTTTCCAGGGGGCGAAAAGCAAATGGAAGATACAAGCTGAGAGTGGGGGGTTAAGCCCCAGCATGGAGGTTTCCTGTTGGAGTGGCCTTCAACCCACCCCAGAAATAGTACCCTCAAAGAAACGGCACATGCGGCTGAATCTTGGTTGACGTTGGAAGGGGATCCCAAATTTAAGTCTTAGCTGTTAAGTAAAGAATTTCCCACTAAACCACAATAAGCAAAAATGTAAAATGTTTCCCAACAACAACCATTGACATAACACACCTTTGGAGTTGGCCGACATTCCGAAAAGGCTCAAAGCAAGCCCTCTGATTTGGACCCCTGGTGGGGAGGCCTAGGGCGGTTCCCAACAACAACCATGTCAAGGAGACTCACTGTAACTAGTTTTGTTCGACCAGCCAGAGCTTCCAAAGGCTTCGAAATCCATGGTGCTTGGGTCCCGTGATGCCGACGCAGACAGAAAGAAGCTGGGGCTCTGCAGATGAGTTGCGAAACGGGGAAGCCAACAGAAAGCTAGTTTCGGATTCAAGGGTTTCCAGATCCTCAAGATGGAGTCTCCATAAAAATGGGTCCATGACCAGCCATTATTTTGGGTCATGACCAACCATTCTTAAAACGTCAGAAGGAGACTCCAGGGAGACTCGGATTTGCCGCTGTTCACAAACCACCCAGCAGATCTCACTGACTTTAGGTCGTCTGGAAGCTGAGGAGCTATCCCCACACACCACCTGAAAGAGCTATGAAAGAAGGGGAAATCACCCACCACAATTTGGTGGGCCATGCCCATGTTGAAGGGAACTGTGGTTGACTTCAAAGGGAAACACCGCCTCAAAATGCTGTTCAATATCCCCTGCCTCGGAAAGAAAGAAGAAAGGAAGAAAGGAAGGAAGGAAGGAAGGAGGGAAGAAAGAACAAATACATTATTTCTTTCTTTCTGTCTTTCTTTCTTTGTTCCTTCCTTTTGTCCCCCAAGCTGAAAGCTTTACAATGAAAGAATGGCACAACTTGTTGTCGATTTCAAACATTTGTTTAACTCACTTGAATCTTACATTCCGATCCGTTCCCAGCGGATGCCTCATTTGTGAGACCTGAAATCAGTGGATTGGCCATCGGTTTCGTTTCCGGGTTGCTGGATTTCCGAAGTGGATCAAATTACTGGATTTCCTCTCAAGTGGTCCTACAGGGGTCACTGGATTTCCTCCCAACCAAAGTGGATCACCTTAAATGTGGCTTTCCACCACAACTCACCACTTTTCTTGAGGGTGCGATAGGGAATGTGGGAATGAACCCGCGGGGTTCGCGTAAAGAAAACCACCAGCGATGGTTCACAAAGGTCATTCTCTCATTCGCCAGGTTTTGGAGGTCCCAAAAACGAAAGCTCACCACAGGAAGCGGCAGGAGGCGCTTCCTACGGATTCGCCCTGAAGCCACAACCCCAACAACCCACAAAACCACAACCCACAACCCACAAACCTACAACCAACAACCACCACCACCACCACCCCACCCCACCCACTGTGCTTCCTTTTCCAGTTACAAACCTAGAGGCTAGGGTTGTAGCCTGGCTGCTTCGCCTGCGGCCATTTTTGGAACCAAAGTGTCTGCCTATCGCAGGCTAGATAAAGGGCGCCACTAGCTAAGCCCTTCGATCCATGTTATTTTTTTGGCGAGTAGGAAGGGTGGTGCCCTTGCTTGCCTATACAGGGAAACAGAAAATCACTGGGGGCAGTGGCAAAAACCGGTCGCGCTGGTGTTGTGGTGTGTCTGTTGCCTTTCATCGCCAGCAAGAAAGGTATGTGTTTGTTCGCTGGGCGAGCTGGTTTGTCGAGGCTCTGGTTGTATCAAAGCCTTGCAGTAGGCGTTCTTGGCCAACTCAATATGTTTTTTGAAAACATAAGGCTATCAACCTACTAATCCCTAGTTTGGAGAGTCGTAGCCCTTTAAGAGGCTGCCAAGTTGGGAGAAGCTTCTTGTAGCCTTCCGGTCGCTACAAGAGAACCAGCGGCTCCCACGTCTCCCCGAACCAATGCCGCAACGCGCTGCTGAAGCATTCCCACGGCGGCGTTCAGGATTTGTTGCCAAAAGATAAGTCGTTTGCTAACAGCCAACATGCCAAGTTGGCTGAGATTGTCCTGCACAGTGGCTGGATTGAACATGATTGTACCCCAACTAATACCCCAACTAATCAAAGAGCAACAACCCACTTTCAAGGATTCCTCTTCAAAGTGCCATTTGACTCTTGTGGATGAGTTCACCGACCTGTCCCGCTTGTTTGTGAGGTGCTTACTACTTCCTAAGATGGTGACTCACTTCCAGTGAGCTCCTGTCCGATTTGCTTGACTTACCATAGGCCTTAAGTATCGAGTCCTCGGGGAGGACTCGAAGCCTCTGATGATCCCTGGTGACTAATTAGGGTTCCAGCCCCTTGATTGCAAGGGCCTAAATATAGTTTGCATGGGGGTCTTGGGATGTAGCCACTTTGTCTAGGCATGACCCTTTTCAAGGGCCTAAATATACTTCCAATGGGGGTGGGACGTTTAAAACCCGTTTTTTTGGCATGACCGGGAGAAATTGCATGTGTACTGGTTTAGCCTTGAGCAACCAAGTGATTCAGCCGAGGATTGCTTCGCAGAACCATGGGCTCAACCCAACAGGCTCACAGAGAGGTCGGCTTTGTGAGAGACGCTCTTCTTCTTCTTGTTCTTGTCCTTGGTGTGCTCCTGGAGTCGAATTCCAAGAGGCACGTGTGCGGGGTGTTTCTGTTTGCAATGGTGAAGCTGTATATGTGTATATATATATATGTATATATGTAGAAATGTATATATATATATATATATAGATATGTGTAAATACAGAGGTATCGCGGACATCTGGTCAATCCATGGTATGGGCGATGGAAGCTAGCTCTCTGACAAAAGACAAGATAAGCAGATCCGCTACCCTCGCCAGATAGCGGAGTGGGGACGCCTGGTCGGAGGGCGTTCGAATCGCTCTCGGACCCGGGAGCTTTGGCATGGACTCGCGCACGTTTTGTGACGCTAGTTTGCGTGCTAGGTGTAGCACTTCGGCAAGGTCAGGTACAGATGTTGTGGCAGATTTTGCAAGAAAGAGAAAGAAGAGCAAGAGAAAGAAGAGAAAAACAAAAAGAAGAGAAAGAGACAGAGAAAGACAACAGAATGGAGAAATAGAGAGAAACAGAGAAAGAGAAAGAGAAAAACTAAGAGAAGGAAAAAAAACATAAGAGAAAAAGAAAGACAAATATAAAGATAGACATTGATAGAGAAATATCTACAAAAATCCGCCGACCCTCTGCCTCCCGTCCCAGCCTCCTGCAGAGGGGACCGGCGTGGGATGCAACTGGAAGTGATTGGACTGGTCCCGGGCCGGTCCCGGGACCGGTCCCAGGGACCAGTCCTGGGACCAGTCCTGGGACCGGTCCTGGGACCGCTTCGGATTACTTGCAGTCAGCCAAAACCGGTCCTGGGACCGGTCCGGGACCGGTCCCAGGACCAGTCCCAGGACCGGTCCTGGGACCAGTCCTGGGACCGGTGCTGGGACTGGTCCCAGGACCCAGGACCATTCCTGGGACCGGTGCTAGGACCGTTCCTGGGACTGTCCCGGCCATGACCGCTTTCAGGACTGGTCCGGTCCCAGCCGCTGGTATCGGATCCCACTTCAAACCGCTGCAGAAACCCGGTCCCACCTCAAACAGCTCCAGACACCTGTTTTTTTCAGTGTCGCTGTTTCCGGACTGGCACCCGTGTTTCGGACCGGACAGGGTCCCAAGTCCCAGTCCCTCCCTGCGACCGGTTGAGGGGCACCGACGGCCTTGTTTCTAGGACCAGCTCAACGTGACTTGGGCGCGAGCCGGCCCGTGCGGTCATTGACGGACGAGCTGCCGCCTGTCTGACTTTTCCGCTAATCCTTGTGGTAGTAGAGGATCCCTGGATCTACTGCCGGCGACCGGTCCAGGGCCACTAGGGCCACTGTCGCCGGGGCAGTTTCGGGAGGGCCAGTTTCAGGGCGACCCGGGACAGGCGACTGCTCCCGGGCCAACTCGAAGTGACTTGGGCGCAAGCCGGCCCAAGCGGCAATTAACGGACTAGCTGCCATATTTCTGACTTTTCCGTTAATCCTTGTTTGTGGTCGTAGAAAATCTTATAAGTGGTCCCTGGGTTTGCGGACGTGTTTCAGGACCGGTCCTTGTGACTTTTCCCTTAATGCGCCGAGGGTCGGCGGCAGCAGGCGGGAGCCTGGTTAATAAAGATACACATGACTATATTTCTTGTATGTGTTGAAACGTCCGCCCACCGGCTTTGCCGGCTCTACAGGTAATAATCAAGACGACTTGAATATATTTACCTTTATTCAACAGTTGCACTCATATGTCACGTGCAAGCTTGTCCGGGCAACATAATATTTGCCAAACATAGGTAATTCGGTGTATGGTAAGCACTGAACAGATTTGGCAGATACGAGACATACTTGAGTGATCCTATGCAATCTTGTCACATGTCTTGCCAGAAACACGCAAAAAGGAAATCAATGGATGACATGTTGAAAGCCAACCTCATCTCAAGGGGACAAAAGATTCCTGACCGCGACGCCGTAGCTGCACACGGAACACAGTATTCGCGTAAGGAGGAAATGAACCAGCATTTGACTCAGTTCAGAACATATTTGGGTGTGGCTCAAAATTAAATAGGAGGGGTTACGCAGGTTTTGGTCCATGTTTCCACTTACCAGGGTTCCATTTTGGGTACCGGCTTTTTGAGCCACAGCCATTTATGCCCCCTCCCTACACCTTGAACAAAAAGGGGCGGTCAAATAAAAATCCCCATGATCATAGGTGGAGCAAGCGAACCATTAAAAGCATCATGTTTCAAACAGCGCATATGTTCAAGTTCAAGTTTTGGTGTGTTTTTGGGTGCCTGTTTTGGGGGTTGGCTTAGGGGAATCAAAGGAAGCCACCCGTTTTGGGCTAGCGTGGCATGAAGGCGTGGCACATGGCAGACAGCTTGATAGCTGGCCGCGTTGCGGAAAAACTGCCCCATGCCGTCCAATACTCAGTTCTCCTCCTTTCTAGGGGTACCTTCCATTTCCATTCTTTCCAGGGATCCACATCTTCTCAGGAAACCATCAAAAGCCCAGGGAAACAGCGAGCGGTTTTTGAAAAGAACGATGGTTGAAAACCATCAGACACCCAGGGAAACAGCTGCTTTGTGAAAAGAACGATGGTTGAAACGAATGGAAAAGGACTCAACCCCTGGATCTTTTTCCGGACCTGCAAAAGTTGATCACCTTTCGGGACATGAAACATGGAAACCCAGAGTGTGTCATGTCAGAGCCACTTGCTCAAAACCCGGCACTAAAATGGTCGTACTCCCAGAACCATGCTTCAAGAATTCAGGCGGAACAACTTCCGCCGCTTTTTTCTGGCAAGGGGATTGGCCCTTACTAACCGGATCATCTACCCGAATCGGTTTGAGCAAGTGGCTCAGGTGCAGTTCATTGGGCAACTGAGCCAAAAGGGGGATTCCTGGATAGCGCAATTGAAAGCCAGGCTTCCCTCAAAGCCTCACAGGTTCAACCGCCCATCTCCAGCCAGAGGAGAGGAGACCGGAGCCCGAGTTTCCCGATTTCTGCGGAGTTCGACCAGAGCTTTCAGCTCTTGGGGAAGTACACCGCTAAACCCGAATCACTTCACTGCCACTGGGTTTAACCACCTCCGTTCAATCATGGAGCAAACTCAACATCGGGGGGGCAGCTGTGTGCGCTAAACAAAACAAAGCGCTCAGGTAACCAGGTAACCCCACAGGCAGGTGCTTCCCTTCAGATTGACATGGAACCATCAAAACGCATTGGGGTTGTAGAAGAATCTCCTGCTGGGGAGCCTGGTTTCGGGGTTCCATGTGGCATCATGTGGCTAAGGGAGTGGTGGACATGAATCCCGAGCAAAACTAGGTCCTCCAGTAGACAGGCTAGAATAAGGGTACCCTTTTTTTCTCTAGTCTGTTTTAGTAGGGGAACCCTCCCCAAAAAATGGGTAAAAGGGCACTACTGGGGGACCTAGAAAATGATGCCCACCAGTTCGGATCCCCTAAGCAAACATCAACTTGCTAGCCTCAAGATCCACGGGTGTTGGGAACGGATAACCCCAATCAGGGGTCAAACCCAGCGGATCCAGTTACCTGTGTAGGAACCAGGGGCTTGCCACCCTTTAAAACCAAAAAGAGAATAGCTGTTTTTGTTTTTAGTAAAAGGGTAAGTTGGATCCACTGGGAAAATGATTCCTGCCTTTTAGGGTGTCAGGTGTCTCTCTTGGGGTACCCCTTTTTTCGTTTCCATGTCTAAATTGCCTCTGATCGATCTAAACAGGTTCACCAACATGGGAAAACCAAAGAGGTCCAACGATCCTTGAGATGGCAATTTCAGTGGAGAGGAGCTGGGTGCTACGCCGAATACTCCAATGGGTCCCAGAAAATTCGGTGGTGCATAAATTCTAGAGGTACCTTCCTCATTCTTTCCAGGGGTCCTTCTTTCTAGAAACCCTCTGCAAACCCAGGGAAAACGGCCGGAGCTTGGAAAGAACGATGGTTGAAAGGAATGGTTGGAATCAACCCATGGGAAAAAACACGTGTCAAGAAACACTTGCCCGCAACCTGGTTCCCCCGAAGCCCCCCAAAACAAAAGCGAGCGGGGCCCCACCTCCGGCGCGTCCACCTCTTGGATGCCCGAGGCGGTGACCATAAGATGCCTCAGCTTTATAAATCTGGGCTGTCCTCAGATCTCCCGCTAAAAGTTCTCAACTTTTAGTGGGTTGAATGGAAATCCCCGATGAAAATTCAAAAGCTAAAAAGCTAAGGGGATGGCTGGGAGCTACCAAGAAATGTGGGGCAAAAAATGGTTCACCACCAGGTATTGGGCCGCCGGGTGTAGTCAAACTTTACCATTTACCAGGTTGTTGTTGTTTTTTTTGGGGGGGTGTTAATCCATTTTCCAATTTACCGGGGTGCTTTTTTGGGGGGGGTACTTATTCTTGACCCACAGGCAAATCAGCAGTTGATTGGGCATGAACTCAGTTGCCCCTGATCGGGATCCAGCAATTAAACATGATGACCTTTTGGGCCCACTAAACCTGGTTGCCAAATCAGGGAAACCAAAAGGTCGTTTCAGGTCGATTCGCTTTGGTTGCAGTTAGAACTCGCGAGTCCGCCTGAGGACAAACAAGCCCAACACCAGTTTTTTCCATTGTCTTTTTTTCTGGGCTTAAGCCAAAGTCCGAGTTCGGAACTCGAAACTGAGTGAAACAAATACCACACCACCGGCCGCCAAAGAAAGGATCCTTCAGATGTGGTTCCTGAATTTTGTTGAGTCGGTGCCCCAACATGGCTTGCGTTTGAAAGGACACCTTAAAAATAAACTGCGCATTTAGGGGGGTCCCTTGAGACAAACCCATGCTCAGACTCTGGCAACCATATTTACCCTACATTACGACAGACCCTGGAAACTGCCCTAGAGCTTGTGTTGTGTCTATTTGGCTGGTCAAAAATCGGTTAAATGGACAACACACCCGGCAAATGTATGGAAAACCGACTAAAACCCGGGGTCCAATTCCTAGTGCCTGAACCCTCAAACTACCCAAACAAATGGGAGTTCACCGTATTATTTTTGAGCAACAACCCATTTGTAAGGGAACTTTGGGGCGTGCAGGTGGTTGAACTCGGACACACGTCTTGTTTCAAGTCGAGTCGCTTGAGCGCAGGGTTGCGCGCTGGGCCCGGCAACCCATGAGCCTTCCGACGGTGGCTCTTCATCAGCAGGTGCGCACGGTCCAAGTCGCCTCGTTTGCTCCCGGCCCGGGCTCCGAATTTTTGTGAATGCTGCGAGTCATTCAAAACCGCTCGGAATTCAAATGGTCTACTCCTTAAAAATGGGTGCGGATTTGTGTGTGTTTTTTTTTTTTTTCCGGACTTTTGTTCCCCGTTTTTCGTCCGGGCGCATTTTACAGCATTTTCTCGCGAAATTGACGCATTTTAAAACCCCCGCATGTCCGACCAACATCCCTGGCATCACCAACAAATCGTGACAAAATCTAAAAGGTGACGGGGTCGAAAAAATGATGATTCAAATGGGAGGGCATTTCAATCCCTGTAAAAAACAAAGTAGTGGGGGGGGGGGGTGGGGGGGGGGCGGAAGCCCCCCATGATGTTCGCAGAAGTGATGATTCGAACAGGGGTGCCATTAAATCTCTGCAAAAAGTCTAAAAAGTAGCGGGAGGGTTGGGGGGGGGCGGCAGCCCCCCCCATGATGTTCGAAGAAGTAATGTTTCAAATACGGGTGCAATTAGATCTCTGTAGCAAAACAAAAACGTAGCGGGGGGGTTGGCGGGGGCGGCAGCCCCCCCCATGATGTTCGAAGAAGTGATGATTCAAGTAGGGGTGCAATGATTCAAGGAAGGGTGCGATAGAATTTGAAAGGCAGCGGAGGGTTGGCGGGGATGTTTCCCCCTATGATGTTCGAAGACGTGCATACATACAGAAATACATGGATTACATAGATTACCTAAAATGTTGTGTTTTACAGCATCTTCTCGCGAAATTGGATGCTCGAAAAAGTGATGATTCAAGTAGGGGTGCAATGATTCAAGGAAGGGTGCGATAGAATTTGAAAGGCAGCGGAGGGTTGGCGGGGATGTTTCCCCCTATGATGTTCGAAGACGTGCATACATACAGAAATACATGGATTACATAGATTACCTAAAATGTCGTGTTTTACAGCATCTTCTCGCGAAATTGGATGCTCGAAAAAGTGATGATTCAAATAGGGGTGCAATTACTCTGCCTAAAAAGTAGCCGGTGGGTAGAGAGGAACTGGTGATGCTGACGATGCGGGTACGAAGAGGAGCTGGGAATGCAGAGGATGCGAAAAGCCAAAGCCAAAAAGCCACCAAAAGCCGCATAAACAAACAAGAAGCCGAAAAGCCAAGAAGCCGAGAAGCCCAAAAGCCAAAAAGCCAAGAAGCCAAAAACCAAAAAAAAGAAAAGAACCACAACTAAAATACAATACCCCTCCCTTAAAAACTGGTTCTTGCTCTAAAATTATGGGGTGAACTCCCTTTTTTATGGGTAGTTTGAGGGCTCAGGTACCCAGAACTATGTAAAGATTCAAACGATGGTCGCACCTATTTCTCATTTCTACCTGGGTGTGAGTGTGGCTCACGTGCGGATACATCCCCTAGACAAAAAATAATAAGCTCAGGTGACATCCCCAACAGCATGCGGTGCTCTTTTTAGCCCTCGCAGAACCTCGTGGAACCCTTGTGGAACCCTGGTGGAACCCTCGTGGAACCTGACCTCAGGGCCGCCCTGGACCACCCCGGAGCCTCAACCCTTAAACATGGGGTCTTGCCAACCAAAATCAGGGTAGTTTGAGGGTCCATAGATTCCCTCTAAAACCAGGAGAATAACTACTCTAAAGCAACTAGAAGATGGGTTGGTTACAAATGAGCAGCGCACGTTTCACTCATTCACTTTCCCAGTGGATCCCAGCTACCCTAAATATGACGTAACCAGCCATTTTCCTCTTGGTTTGTGAAGGGTAGTTCCATTTATACATGGAAATGGAATGACTGGGTTTGGATTCTGCCAATATGCCTCGTGAAACCAGGTCATGGAACCTACTAGAAGTGGCCAACGAACGGGTTCCAAGCAGGGCTATGTGTTTGACAAAAACATGGCTGCAGCAGATTCACTAAGTGTTAGGGTTGTGTCAAAGGAAAACCGAAGCCACCAAATGCGGTTCACCTACCAACTTTCTAGCAGGGTAGCCCCCTGTATCAAATCGCGGTCAAGAGTGGGTTCAAAACAGAAGAACCCTTATAAAGGGTGGTTTGGTGCGCCCCCTTGACAACAACCTAAGATAGGGTACCCTAAAACAAACACGCACACTCACAAACACAAACAACTTAAAGGGCAACCACAGAGGAGATGTTTCGACAACAAAGCATCCAAAATTGTTGGCTGAAATGCTCTCTAGGCAGAAAACCCTTTACAGTTGCTAGCCTTAAAGTCTTCGAATTCTTGTAACTGACGAACAAACATGGAAATCCTCCCCAGGTTGGTCAAACTGTCAAACTGACTCGCAAAATGTTGAAGCTGAAGCTTCGAGGTTGATCCAAAGACGCGATCACAATAGACACTTGGCAGCCCTCAAACCGCAGGAACCAGTTGACCATTGCTACCCAGTGTGCACTGAACAGCTGCTGGCAAGCAGGGGCCCAATATTCCCAAAGAGCGCCACTTGCAGCTCAAGTATGGGTCTGTCTTTGCTTGAAAGTTGGTCGTGTTGGTCTGTTTAAAGGGAAACTAAAGGGAACACCCCCTTTTTGCTGCAGAAGGGGCCGCCATGGGGCCTGCGTTTTTGCAGCGCAGTAAAATCATGGAAAACCCACCATGGCGGCCCCCTCTCTTTTGCTGGGGGTCCCCTGTATTTCAGACACACCATATGGCCTTAAGGCTTCTGGGCTTACCAAGCCTTCTGGCTTCCCGGCCTGCCTGGACCTTCTGCAAGCGAGCAGAACATTGCAAGGAGTGCTTGTATGGGCTATTTACGGTGTCATGCGCTACCTGGAGAGATCAGTACCTGGGAAACGACCTCACCCATTTTGGAGACACCATTTTGACATACCCAAAGCAGCGCCCGCTTCACCCATGGACAAAAATGGTTCTACCCGCATGGTAGCAGCTTTATACACGTAGGCTTCATTTACCCTCCGTAAAATCCCAGGTAGACCTTCTACCTCCTTAAATGGCCCACTACTTTGAAATCGGAAGGGGGCGGATCTGAAATCTTGCACGCGACTTCCTGTCCGAAGGGCCCTCATCAGTTCCGTGCTGCAGGAAAAGTTCGAAGTGCTGCTGGGCGTATTGCTTCAAGACCGCCTTTTGCGCGCCCGCCTCGGTGGTTTCCTGGCGCAAACAAAAACGACCCTCCCGAAAACAAACATGCGTGTGTGTCTCTGTGTCTGTGTGCGTGTGTGCATCTTTGAGGATGATGGGAACCCCGGATTAATGAAACACCGGTTAACTGATAGGGGGTGCCCTCTTTGAGTGGGAATTCTTCACTTTTGTAGGAGACATTTATTAGGATGGGTTGCTTGATCTGGGGTTCCAATTCCCTTGGAATGGCTTACAGGGGAAGACCGAAACAAATGCGTGTATGGTTTTTTTGGGCACTCCCCAATTCACCAGGGTGAAACTAGCCCAAGCAAAGGGGATGGTAAGCGCAAATGCGGGAAAATGGTGCCATGGAAATCTGGGCTGTCCGTTTTTCAGACCCCCTGCTAAAAAGTGACTAACTGTTGGTGGGTGGAATGGAAAACCAGCGAAACCAACCAAACAGATCTACAAAACCTAAGGAACCGGATGGCCGGGAACCAAGAAATGAGTGGTGCTCTCTGCCCAGATTTCTGTACCTCAAAACGGAAACCGAAAGGAAGCCGAAACGCCAAGGCTGCGGCTCAAAGCAATGGTTGGGCTAAGACCTGCCGATTCCCTAGTTCTTTGACTAGGTGCTCCAGTAGAGAGGTTGGAATAAGGGTACCCTTTTTTCTGTACTCTATTTTAGTAGGGGAACCCTGCCCCAAAAAAGTGTAAAAGGGCGCTACTGGGGGACCTAGTCATGGAACGTCAAAAGTCAAAAGTCTAAAAGGGGAGTTGAGTCTGTCGATATGACAAGCAAACGAAGCAAACGGTCCGATCAAACGGTCGATGCGCGATCTCAGGCGCAAACGTGTACCTCTTATCGGAGCCGCCATGCCCTTTTTGTGAATTTGAATAGGGGACCCTGCAAACATGTTGGGATTCATGTCTACTAATCACTTTTGAGGTGGTTCCATATCTCATGAGTAGCCGTTTAGAGGAAAGTGGTCCGAGTCACTACCCAGTAAATACATTGTGCATATCCTAAAAAGAGAGAAAGAGCGTAGGTGACCTTTTTCGACAAATAGATGGCCCCCACATATTCAGCTATAGGGACAATTGTGGTATACCTGCAAATCCCAAGGTGTTTAAAATTTCAGCCTTGTGAAGGACAACTGCTTTTTTGGTCTAGGAACATCAATTTCTGCCTCCAGGCGTTGGTTGGGGAACATGACTTTTTGCAAGGTGAAGCTGGTCGACTGAATGTTGCCACCGTCGTTCGATTTGCCAATCAAACGGCAACAAGTTGCCAATCAAACGGCGTTTTTGGCCGTTCACAGAAGTTCTTGAATATTCACGAATTGTTCCAACGTCATTATCGGAAACCAAACACTGTTTTTGCAGCAAAGGCGAAACGTATTGCAATTTCAATCAGCGGCAGGAATTCAATTGCACCCCTGGGCTTTCCAGGTGTGTTCAAGAGTTTTGGGAACAATCCAAGGATTTTTTGCGAAACTACAGGTGGTCTGCAGGGGTCTTCCCTGATTCCTTCCATTATCCAGTATACGTGATAGATTCCCTTCAAAACCAACACAGAGAAAAATCAACATATATACATATATGCGTATAAATTTCAGCCAAATGGAAGCTGCTGAGAACCAGCAAGTCCCTCAAACCAGTCGTGTCTCCCAGTGAGTTGCAGCTGTTGTCCTGTTTCCCTTCGATCTCACAAAAAAACAAACAAAAACAGGCGTTCCATTACTTTCAGCCAGTGCGCGGCATATGTTCAACCCGCTCTCCACGTGGCTGTGGGTCAAAACCAATGGTACCATTTTGGGGTAGGTGCGCTACCCATTTTAGAACCTATTTTCGTGGAGATTCAGATGTTCTCTGGGGGCAAAACCGATTTGGCTTTTGACCCATGGCCATGTTTTTACTTGTTGTACATATAGTGGGGATTGGGGGCTTTTGAAAAGCCCATGGCCATGTTTGTTTATTTAATTTATTTTTTGAATGTTGGCCGCCTGAGTTGTTTTGCTTTTCTTCTCTCCGGTCCTCGGAGAGCTCTTTCTCGATGGGCAAGATGAAAATCCGCCAGGCGGGGAAGACGATGAGCACCAGGCAAATCGACCTCGACGCTCGAAGGTTCATCTCTTTACCGAAAGACAGCGTTTCGGCCGTCTTCCAGGGGTTGAGTCCTTTTCCATTCTTTTGAATCATCGTTCTTTTCAGAAACCGGCCGCTTTCCCTGGGTTTCTGCAGGTTTTCTGGAAAGAAGGATCCCTGGAAAGAATGGGCAAGGTAGCGTTTCGCCCTTTTGAGCGGGTACCCTCTTGTGGTTTAAAGGGAAACCAAAAGCAAGACCATTCCCAGGCCCTGGCGTGTTCGATTCGGCCAAGTTAGCAAGTTGCAACAGTAACCGTTCGGTTATAACCCGCTTATAAGTTCCCCGTTTTTGTCGGGTTAACCTTGGGTGAAAAAAAACAAGTGGCCAACCACTTGCTGGCCGAGCAGGGTAGGCCCACGGGTAATCCCGAACCCCAAATCCATAGTATATATATATATGTATATGTAAGCGGTGCAAGCTCTCGTGACCTTGCGGAAGATCTTGTGCGTTATCCTGTTTGCCCGCGTCAGCAGCTATACCTTCAAACGGCCCGCTACCGGAATACAATCACAGCCCCAGAAGCGGAAGATGCCTCTGCCAACTTAGGGTGGGGCTAGGGTGGGTTAAGCTGCATCATCTGCAGGTGCTCGTAACTAGGAAACTACTAGACGCGGACTCCAGGAACATGGCGGAAACAAAACTAGGTCCTCCAGTAGAGAGGTTCGAATAAGGGTACCAACTTTTTTCTGGTTTGTCTACTTTAGTAGGGGAACCCTCCCAACCAAAAAAGACATGCCTAGAACGGCGGTGTTTGTCAAGACCCTGTTCCATGCGATGATTCTCGGTTGCTTTCTGCTCCCCTGCTAAAAGTGACTAACTTTTAGTGGTTTAATACGGAAAACCCATTAGTTGGCAAAAAGTTAAAGTTCTAATATCCAAGCAATATGCAACAAAGACAAGGGGCAGCTCGGCATCAGCTCGGCATCGGCTCTGCAAAACCTACTCCGAATGTGCTTTTCATACCCCAACTCCTATCGACCTAAAGGTCGCTTAACCTGTGATTCTACGACAACTCCCAAATTATTTGAAATGAGATCTTTAAACACAGGACTTACATCATAGCTTTTGCTGGTTCCCCCGAATCGGTGGAATCGCCATGGTGGATGTCAAACCAAGCGGCATGATCATTTTGGAGATTGTCGGCGGGCAATCTGCTCGAAGCCTCAGATTGGGCGCCGCAAGCCGAAGCAAGTGATTTGAGCGCGTCAACCGCGGTGCGGGGGACATCATAGCAACTCACCAACCCAAACCCCCACCGGCTATGGGAAAAAGAGGCACCCCCTCCAAAGGGGCAAATAACAAGGACACTAGAGTACGACATGAAGACATAACATATACATACAACACACATACACACACACACATGCAACAGGGCAACAGGCTTGTATTCCTAGTGAACACAAACCCTCTACTACGCTTCGAACACAAATTCGAAACAACAACCATGCAGCACCCGGGGAAAGGGAAAACTGCGCACCACTGGGTGTCTGGGCCAAGCTTTGTTCCTTGCCTCAAAATCGGTGACTCTTTCGCTTGCGCGGCGTCATTCACCAACCGAAAGTAGATGACTTGGCCTTCCAGGAAGGGAAGCCTCACTTTGGGCCACGCCAAAAGGCCCCCAGGAAGGGAAGCCTCACTTTGGGCCACGCCAAAAGGGAAACCAAAGGAAGCCAACCAACCCGAATTTTGAGAAAGCCCCCAATATGCTCATGCACCCCAATGAAAGGGGCTGCCTTTTTGTCGGGTTGGCGCCCTCTGGGCGATGTACCAAAGAAGCCCACGGCGCAAATCGCCGGGTGCGAAGATTCCAAGGGGCCTGTCGTTTGGCCTGCGGTCTCCAATAGATCCTAGTTCCCCAAACAAATCTTGAGAATTTCAAGTCATCCAAGCCCCGAAGGACCTACTCTCGAGTACTGGGGCTGGAGATCTGGGTCTTTTCCCACGTTAGGTCACCAAACTATGGTGATGGTTTCCGAAACGCCTGGGATCCACTGGGTCAAACAAACGATGGGATACGAGACTTCTGAGGCGCATCACACGAGTGGGCGGCCAATGGACATGCGAGCCGTCTTTTTATGTGTAGCGAGAGCCCTGAAACTTGATTCTTTCCCACGCGGCCCAAAAGCATAAAAAGGCAGAAACACCACGGCCAGAAACGCGCATCCCCGACAGACCCGGACACGGGAACCGAATCTCCGGAGCTTCTCGCCGATCGAGCCAGCCGAATTGGCTGAAAAGAAAAACGCACGGGAGGAGAAGCAGGCCACTGGTTCGGGGCCTTTGGGGGTTAGGGGCTGTAGCTTCCCAGATGTGTCGTGTTGCTTGGAGGTTACCCGGAAAATTGTGGTTCAAAAGGAAAGAGAAAGGAAGACACACCCACCGTTGTAGTTTCCCGAACTTGAGACATGCCGTGTTTCTCAGGGGTTATCCCACCAAACCACTAAGGGTTGGATTTTTCCCCACTGCAAGTCAGGTTACCCCAAATTGGCCTTCCCCCCGAACCCCCGAACAACCCCGTAACCCCGTTAACCCCGTTAACCCCCCAAACCCCTGACCCCCCAAACCCCTGACCCCCGAAACCCTTGACCCCCAAACCACTGACCCCCCCACCCCCCCCCCCCCAAAAAAAAAGGTTACCCCAAATTGCCTTAACCCCCTTAACCCCCTTAACCCTCTTAACCCCCTTAACCCCCTTAACCCCCTTAACCCCCTTAACCCCCTTAACCTCGTTGACCCAACCCAACCCCCCCCAAACCCCCCCCCAAAAAAAAACAAACGATGAGGCGCCCTTCCGAGACCACGTCCACCGCGGTATCGAAGGACTGCTCCCAGGAGAAGCCGATGAGGATCCCCAAGCCTGGCGCCGTTGGGTTTAGTGGGGAATCAAACCCACTTTTCGAGGGGAACACCCCCCCCCATTAAGAAACTGGGATTGATTGATAGGGGGTCAAGATTATGGTGGGCACTTGTTGTTATATGCTAGAAGATGAATATTTTTTGGATGTGTGTTCATTGTCAGATGAGTAGTTAGGAATATGTCTGGATTGATGTCACAACAAATAGCTTTTTTAGACCAGGGGCCGGTATGGTAGGCACTTGTTGATTTTTTATTCCTACCAGGTACCCCTTCGCTACGTTCTTTTTGAAGTGTTTGTTTCAATAAAGTGGTTCCCAAGAACTGAAAGCTATGGGGTCGATAGGCCCAAATGAGCTCTGGTTGGTGGTTTGGGGGTGCAGAAGCCAAAAACAAAACAAGCACGGGCATACAGCTCGGAAAGTAGACGCATTTATATTCCTCGACTGGAAATCAGCATTGGAACCTTGAAAATCCCGGGCCCCCAATACGCGAGTTGGTCTGGGGATAAACGGCATTTAGAAATGGTTTCCCCTGCCTAGTAAAGCCCCCCCCCCCTCCCCGGCCTCTGCCCCCTTCCCTCAAGGTCGACAAAGCTGAGATCTCTTGGAGGATTTTCCTGAATCTGGAAGCCTTTTCGGTCCTTGAACCACTGGCCTCCAAGGGGGCCTCCAAGGGGGCGCCCCCTTGGTAAGCTTGAACACCTTGTAGTTGTAAACAAACTTTAGAATAAACAAGCATCCTGGGAGAAGCACATGTTTGGGGAAATGAGGGGAGCAAATGCTATTGCTGCAGGTACCTTTCATGGGGGGTTTTGGGGAGGCCCAAAACGTGATTGGGTCGGGGTTTGTAGGCAAACCGTGTTGGCCCTTTGCTTTAGTATTAGTGGGAATCTGGGAGGCTTTGCAGGGAACCTTTCATCCGGGGTTTACTGATTCTGCACTGACATTACCTTGGTTGACGTTGGAAGGGGAGCAAAAATAAATAAATTTTAGCAGGTAGGTGGGGGATTTCCCACTAAACCACAATAAGCAAAAATGTAAAATGTTTCCCAACGACAACCATGTTACCTACCAATGATTCCTGTGGCCAAGGGAAATCTCACCCCACGGAAACTGGCCCAGGGTTCCGTGGCGCACCCATTTCGTGGGATTCTTAAGTGCACTCCTTCCAACCTGGAGGGTCTCACTTGAGTGCATATATATGAAAGAAAGCAAAACCCGACGTTTTGTGCACTGACATGGTCCAGCCCAAAAGTATGTCCAGGAACTCGGGGAGTGATGGTTCAAGAGTTCTAGAGGTTGATTTCCAAATCTTTTCACCCATCCTTCCTTTCAAAAACCGGGTGTCAGAAAGAAGGTTTTCTGGAAAAAAGTGCTCAAACATTGTTCAAAAAAGCAGCCGTTTAAAGAAGGATCCCTGAGAGTGGACATGGAAGCTACTTAAAGGGGCAGGGTACTTCACGTAAGTGGGTAATACCCATGGTTATAACCCCAAAAAGCCATGGTTTCGAGTCTCCGTTCAGTGGGTTATCTCACCAGGCATACTAACCACTTCATGTTGACCCCATATGAATAGGGGGATGTCCCGACTGGTGGGGAAGTATCATTGGAGGGGAACACCCCAATAAACAGGGGTCGATTCACCTGAATTCAGCAAATTTCAGCACCTTGCCCCTTTCAGTCCCCGTAGAACTCACTGCCCCCGCCAACAGTCCTCCGTTTGCTTAAGACTAGTTTCTTGATTTTACCCTGTTGGTTTGAAAGGGAATCGATTTCACTACTGGATATGTTGTTTTTTTTTCGCTTTTTCCTGGGGTCTTAACCAAATGGAAGAGTCTTCACCCTTAAAAAATGGGGGTAAAAGGGATCATGGACCCATTTTTCAAGGGTCAGAAGGAGACTCCAGGTACCCGTAGAGCTCAGTCTGACCCCGCACGTCCAACGTCCACATCCGAGCCCGCGAGTCGAATCGGTCCATCCCGCCGGTGATCATCTTCTCCGTGGCCCCCTCCGCGATCTCCGAGTCTTCGCCGAAGAGGTGGTTGTCCTCCACCTAACCGAAAGCTCGCGGTCCAAAGCTCCCACTGGACCCAAAGAACTTCCACGGATCACCTCCCAGAGGCTCCCCATGTTACCGGACCCAAACCAAAGGGCCTAACGGATCGGATCTGCTGAATTCACCCCCAAACCGAAGCTCCCGATGGTTTTTGGTCGGCACTCAGTTGCAGCCAGGTTTCGGGAACCCCAAACACCAATTCCCGGGTGTCTAATAGAGGGGTTTTGGTCTTCCATTGAACGCCCCAGGAGCCTCTGGGCTGCGAAACTCTGAGCGGTCGACTGTACCGGACCCTCCACAGAACCCAAAACCCATCGGATCTGCGCCGGAATTTCTTGCCGCTGGTACCTCGGAACCTGGACCCTCCAACATATCCCGCTGAAGAAAATGGGTGGCCGACCAAAAATAGGGTTGGTGAAGTCACCTTTTTGATGGGCAGTTTGAGGGCTCAGGTACCCAGAACCAAGGTAAAGAGACAACCAGGCAGATATCCGCACCCATTTATGGCTGGGATTCTACTGGCCTTCATCTACCCGGGTGTTGCTTGTGGCTCACCTGAAAACGCGGGTGGCTTGCCCCGTCTCCCGCGCGAGACCCGCTTGCGGCTCCCTTTTTTCTCAACGGGCGGCTGGCGTTGACTTCTGTTGGGTGGCTTGGCTTTTGAGGAATCGGACCGGGACCCGAAAACAGATTTCGGTGCTTTCCTTGTGGTTTCCCTTGAACACCCACAAAGAAAGGAATACCAACGCACAACAAGACGAGCCACCCACCTTTTGGGGGTCAAACAAAAGGCTGTGGTTGAAAAGCTGTGGCTGTCCAACCAAAACTTTTAGTTGAACAGCTGTAGTTCCAACGCAAGCCTATTCACCCATTATGGTTGCACAAAATGTGGTTAATACAAGGCGTGATTGAAAACCAAACTGCACTTTCCACAAAGAACCCTTTAAAACAGCCGCAGAGGGGAATCTCCCCTTGGGCCAGCAAAAAATCAAACAAAAACCGGACGCGCAACATTTCTTTTTTCGCACAACTCCCCCCCCCCCCCCGCGCCCCCGCGCGCGCCTTTTTTTTCCGTCCGAAACCGGGAAGCGAGGCCGAGGCGAAGGCCGGGCCTTGTCCAAGACGAAGATGAAGAGGAAGGACACCGCGGACAAGAACAAGGCGATGGCCACCATCAGCCTTTCTCATGGTGTGTCTTTGAGGGTTCCGGTGCCGAAATCAGTGGGCGTTTTCCGGTTGGTTTCCCTCTACCCTCAAAAAAGCATGTAGCCTCAAGAAAACAGGGTTGCGAAATCTGCTCCCCTGCTAAAAGTTTGACTCACTTTTAAAGTGGTTTAATACGGAAAACCCATTAGTTGGCAACAAGTTGTTCAGTCCTAACATCCAAGCAAAATGCACGGAAGGTTTCAAAGACACCAGGAAATTCTCCAGGAAGTGATCGCCCAACTGCCCAGTGGATCCCAGGCAAGCCACTATAGTAGGTCAACCAGTGTTTTTTGTTTTGCAAGGGTGGCTTTTTGTTAGTCTGATATACAGAAATGGAATCACTGGGCGGGATTTGGTGGGCACTTGATCAATTTACTGGATTTATTCATGGAGGTGTCTTCGATGATTCCATCGACCCATTCGATTCCGGAACGAATCTTCGAATGGGGCAAAGAACTAGCCTTCCAAATCCTTGGCAAACGATTCCAAATTTCACCTGCGGTGTAGGTAAAGTTGGAACCCTTGCCGCAACGACCAATTTCTCTACAAAAAGTGACTACAACTTGTGGGTCCAATTCGGAAGAGAAAAAGTCCCCAAATATTGCGACACACAAGGTCAGCAATTCACCCTTAAAACCAGAGAAATTTACCTGGACCTGCGACCTGTAGATATCCACTAGACGAAACAAGGCTCCAACAGTTACCCCAGTGGAGGCAAAAGGAATCTGTTTCGCCCTATCATTGATAGCCCTCCGATTTGTGTTTGTCCTCTTCGTGTTTCAAGGCTGGCAAGTTTTGGGTTACCTACAAAGCAAATTGAAATGGTACCTTACCTAAATCATGGAATCACTGGGTACCCTTTATGCCTATCCTCAGAGAACCTATCAATCCTCAAAAACCAAGGAGCTTGAGCCCCAAGGTCAGCGAAACGGATGGGATCCACTGAAAGCGTCTTTTTTGGGGTGCCGAAGCTTCTTGAGATGTGTTTCAAGGGAAATCAAAGGAACACCTCAACCATTTAGGCGTGCCCCCTGTGTTGAGATGTGTTTTTCAAAACCAACAGGCAAGCCTCAACCATTCAGGGGAATCCCACTCAAACGAGACACCCCTGGGAGTTTGGACACCTTCAACTTGGCTTTTGGAAAATGTCCCAAACCGCCCCCAATGACTTTGGAATGCAATATTTTGATCACGGGCGGAACGGCCCTTTTTAGGGGACTCCAACATGGATCTTGTTTTTTCTCTGAAACCACCAAGCAAAGCAAAAACTCCCTTCAACAACCAACATCAATTATGGGGTGAACTCCTTTTTTACAGGTAGTTTGAGGGTTTGGGTACCAACTCTAAGAAAGTCAAAGCCATCATCATCTCTGTCAAATCTCCCCTACCTGGACCTTCGTTCTCCTGAAAAATAGCCGTAGTTTCCGCCTTTGACTGGATATTCGGGAAATCGTAGCACTTTTTGCCGCAAAAACCCGAAACTCCTAAAACTCCTAAAAAGCACACTATTGCACTGCTCGCAGATTAAAGGAAGCTTTGAGGGATAAACGGCTTGATGCAGCCCGCAAGTTTGTCAAAGCCTGCAACAGCGGTCCAAAGTTGTGCGGTGCAGAAAAAACGTACCCATTTTGACCGCAAAACGCCCGCAAATTTCCGCAAATCTCCCGCAAAAACCCGCAAACTCCCGCAAATCAGGAAAAGTCGTAGCTTTGAATGATCAAGGCATTTTGTGGTGTTTATTGGCACGTTGGCCAGTGCTGCGAGGTGTATTTGCTTTCTATGGCCAATGCACGACTGGAAACGACGCAAATCGTATGAGTTTTTGCCCCAAATGTGCTAAACCACTGGAATTCGGTAAATCGTAGGGGTCTCCCAAAACACCCAGAAATTTGCCGGAGTTTGAAGGTCCAGGTACACAGATTTTGATCTCACTCGTCCATGGATGAAGCAGTAGAACCCTTTTACGAAATTGACCAACTGCTCATCCACCCAACCCCGTTTATTTGAGTCATAATCAAAACCCGATACTAATTAAAATGGTCCATGCTTCAAGAATTAAGGCGGACATTTCCGCAGCAATTTATGGCAAGGGGATTGTCCCTTAGCCTTCACCAATCCGCGGGTTTTGAGCAACTGGCTCATTTGGGGAGGGCGGGGGGGGGGGGGGCTTTGGGCGAGCTCCGGGCTGGCGAAGAATGCGCGGTCTGCCATGCTGCGGGTCTGCTACGACCAAAAAACACACACCTCCAAGTGTGTGAATGTGTGGATTCACGGCATACCTAGGTTTTTGCATTAGGTCAGTTTTTGGAAATCTCTGCGCTGGTTTCGTTCGTTTCAGATGTTAAGCGAAAAACATAAAGCGGAAACCTTGATTTGGCATGCTTTGGCAAGTTTTCTCCTGGAAAATGAGCGGAAACCGGCGAGAAGAAGGGGAACTCAGCTGAAATTAGTGCTTCCAATTGAACGTGTTTTTTGGAATGGAGCGTTTTGGGGTCAACTGAAAGAAGCGGACAAAAACAAAAAACGTGTGCAGGGAAGAACTAGGTATAGATTTCGCAGAAAAAGGGGTAAACACCCCCCTGGACTAACGGCAGGGTCCCCGTGTGGCCCGCGCATCCATTTTGGCCACCTGGCTAGTTTGAGGGCTCAGGCACGTGAATTTGAGGCTCAACCTCCAGATCGTCGAGCAAAGCATTGGCACCCAAACGCCCCCCAAAGGAGGCTACAAAAAGAAGTGCAAATGCGGTTTCATATTCTACATATGGCCATGGGGCATAACCTATGGCTCCATTTTGGGGTGGATGAACATCCATTTGCCGCCTATTTTGATGTTCACCAGGGGTACAGGGTTTTGACCCACAGCCACATGAATGCGTCAAAACAAATCCGCAAAATTGTGCTTATCCGCTTGGCTTCTCTTGAAAACCAAATGGGCACCCTCAAAAACACACAGACAGAGACAGAGACAGAGACAGAGACAGACACAGACCCAGAGACACACAGACACAGAGACACACAGACACAGAGACACACAGACACAGAGACACACAGACACAGAGACCACAGAGACACAGACACACAAACACACAAACACACAGACACACAGACACACAGACAAACACACACACACACACATCCTTATAAAGTAGACTTTAGAGGTCTGAATCCAGTGCCGGGGCCCCGCGCAGGGCGTTCTCCTGGGTAAAGTGTGTAGCGCTGATCGCCCACCGCACCCCGTAGAAGAGACACCAAGCCAGGCCGAAGGTGAAATAGTTGTTCATGATCTCGATCATCCTGTGCTAATGGCAACGGATTAATCAATTCATCAACCAACCCAGTTTGAATGGATCATCCTGTGCCAGATCATGGCAACGGATTAATCAACCCACCAGTTTAAAAAGGGGGCTGTCTCTAGTGTTAATGGAGATTCAGACCGCTTTTGGAGGAGGCCCACCCCCCCATACTAATAGACAGGGGTTTATTAATCCGCGGCCAACATGATGCATGTGTGTCCCAAAATACAGGGCCTTTCCCTTTGAACCAAGGTACCCCAACAAAAAGCTAGCACATGCGGTTCTGCAACAAATTGGTCGTGTTCGTGTGTTTTCCAGTTTAATCCTACGGTGCCAAAAGATCGGATGACATAGACGAGAATATCATGGACCAGTCAGAGATGGACATAACCCGGGTAGGGCCCAAATAAATAACTATGGGGTCACATCAAGGCATGATAGCAGAAACGACGATTCTTCCCAACCCTTGGTATGGTCTCCTGCCAAAAATGAACAGGACCAAAAAACAAACAATCTAAAACCATGCCAACAAAAGTGAAGATTGGTAACCTGTTTGGCCCCTAAGACATGGTGCCCCTCGGTTACCTCCAAGCGCCCTCCTAAATGTCCAAAACTGAATGCAATTCAGCTCAAAGAATGACCCTCCCCCCCGAGACTAACATGGAAGCTCCCCAAGACCCGTTGAAAGACTTAGTTTCATTTACAGAGGCCTTTTGGGAGTTTTTTTTGTTAGTGTAAGGGAGTGTAGCAACAAACAAAAACTGCGAGCTGAAAGTTGCGACTTGACTTTTGCATGGCCGAGTTGTCCTCGTCATAGTTTTTTTGTTTCTTAAATAGATTGGTGTCTCTGGTAAATGGAAGAAGACCAATGAGTATGTGTCCCTGGTAAATGGGCACACTTTTAGGCTGGGAAACAGCCCGGTGTCTCTCCAAAAAGGAAAAAAGGACCGGCAACGAGTCGGTTTGTGAAGGAAAGAAGGGCATATTGTGCCATAGTCAAAAGGCCCCTTTACTTGGGCCTGGGATGGTCATCCACCTGGTAGTACGGATCCTTCACGACTGTTATAATGATTCCTACTTAGCTTGCTGGTTCTCAGCAGGGAATGAGGGAATGACCCCTGCAACCAATCCCCTATCCCTAGGTTCATTCCCAAAACCTTGCTGGACGAACACTCGAGATCAGAGACCATAGGCCAAACAGGCGGAATTTGGACCGTAGCTCAAATTATTTACTGGCCATCTTGGGGGTTGCTGTAACCTTGCGTTCACCGGCCAACAGGTTGAACTCTCGTTGGCCCTGGACCAAAATGTTCAGAAGCAACTTCCACCACCCCCCACCACGGCTTTTTGGACAGTTCTTTGGATTTTGAACATTGAAACAAAGCTGTTGTGGGGAGGGGGGTGCTGGTTGGAAGCAAAGAGTTTAAAGTTTGGAAGAATGATGGAATTTGACAATGGGAATAGAAAGAGGACACGAGACTCATTCATTATCCTTCCTAAGCCTGTGTCTTCCCTTCAAATAGCACAGGGCTGTTCCCTAAGGGCTTTGCATGAACCGAAATTGGTTGCTCCCAAGGCTCCTGGTTCATACTCAGCTTGTTTGGTTCAGCTTGAAGAAATATTTAGGGAACCTTGTAATATTGTGGATTCACCGTAGATGGTTGCGAGATCCATCCAGTTCCAACCACCGTTCAGAAACCCAACGGTTTCTGATTCGCTTCCACAAACGTTATGGTTTCATTCATGGTTTCATTTCTTGGTGCAAATTCTGGATTTCGCAACCATCCACAGCATGAGTCTGTGTTTTAGGAACCCCCCCCAATCTACGTGAGGCATAATCAAAACCTGGTATTAAAATAGTTGACCCAGAACCAATGCATCAAGAATTAAAAAGGCGGAAAATTCCGCGCCAAATCATTTATGGCAGGGGGATTGTCCCTTACCAACCTTCGTCTGCCTCGACACCCAAATGCCCGTAACAACTGGGTATTTACCCATGATGGTGGGATTGTCCCTTATATACCCTCCACCTACCCCCGGGTCAGGTTCCTGTAATTTCCCAAAATCAACCAGACTCCACCGAGCCCCGGGTGTTCCTTGGACGTGACGCTATTCCATCGAAAAAACCGAAATCCGACTCCTTTCCACTCGCTCCGAGGGCTCATGGACAAAGCGCTCGGCATTCAGCACCTCGATTTGTTTCTTTCGTCGAACAATGCGGTTCCTGAAACCATTCGGGGCTGCCCGATGTCAGATCTGCGAGAAGTGACGAACTTGTGGGTTAAATTCGAGAACTACCAGTAAACCAACTATGCGAAGAAGCTCAGGGGATGGCTGGGCACCACCAATCCATCTCCATGCAACGATTTGGGTGCTCTGGGCCAAAAGAAAGGCCAAGCTGTTGGTCTGCCGCTAAAATGGTCTTCCCAAAAAACTGAAAGTCTCTGAGCTCAGAAAGTGAGTAAAGGGGCCAAGGTAGCCCGGTTGTAACATTGTGACCCACTGAAAGGAGGCCTATAACTATGGCTTTTGTGGGTTACAACCATAATTGTTGCCCGCTCCTGCCCCTTTAAGTAGGGTTCAACCCCCATTAGCAGAATGAATGGCAATCCTCAGGTAAACAATAACCTCCATTGGTTTAGTGGTTGTTTGAACCCCAGAGTGTGTCTTTGTTTGGGGGACCCCGCCCCCAAACGGTGGCTTTGCTTTTGGTTTCCCTTTAAAGCCACACAAATTCGGTACCATCCGAAGAACCGACCCACAACAATCACGAGAAGAGTGCTGAGAATCATACCGATGGCAATCAACAACCCAATACCATGCATTAGCAAAGGCCGTGAGGGGTGGCAAAGGCCATAAGGGGTGGCAAAGGCCGGGCTGAAGGTTTTGGCTGTGTCGATGGCTGGCGTCCGATATAAGAAAATGCCAGGCTTTGAAACGTAAGTGGTTCAAGGGTGCGCCCTAAAGCAAAGCAGATCCGCCGACCCCTTTCTCCAAAGGTGCGGCGCATGGGAAGGGTTTGTATTCGTCCTTGTCTTCGTGATGATTATCATCACCACTGATGTTGGGTGATGGTTCGCAGCATCCGGACCATCATCATTCTTCTGTTTCACAAACGTTTTAAGTGTGCCATTAGACCCGACTTGGAACGCTGCTCATGCTGGGGATGCAGAGTGATGATTATCATCAGGATGTCGTCACGGTAACTGCTGGTGATGCTGGGGATGCGTAGTGATCATCGGGATCATCATCATCATCATCATCATCATCATCATCATCATCATAATCCGACTTGACATGCAAAGTGAGGATTTCATGACTGCGAGCGATGCTGCGGATGCATAGTTATCTGCTGGTAATGCGTAGTGATGATGTCGTCACGGTAACTGCTGGTGATGCTGAGGATGCGTAGTGATGATCATCCCACCATCATCATCATCATCATCATAACCCGGATGCATAGTGATGATTTGCATCATCAGGATCATCATCATTATCACTTGACATGCAGGGACAATTATCATCATGACTGATGCTACGGATACATCGTGATGACCGCCAGCTTTGTCGTGGCGGTCTTCTTTTTCATATACGTTTCAAGCGTGCCGTTAGACCCGACTGGAAATGCAGAGGATGCGTAGTCATGATTGTCATGAACAATGCTGGTGATGCTGGTGATGCGTGAAAATTATCATCAGGATCATCATCATCATCATCATCATCATCATCATCATCACTGGAAATGCGTCATGATTGTCATGATAACTGGTGGCGATGCCGGGGGTGCATAGTTCATCACCATCATCACCATCATCATCATCATCATCCATCATCATCATCATCATCATCATCATCATCCGAAGTCTTGCGAACAAAAAAAGTGGTGCCCCCAACACAGCCGGGGGCACTTCTTGTAAAATCCAACAAGGTGCTCATGATCATGCGAATTAATCCTGCAGTAGCTTGTTTGAGATGCAGGGAATGCGTAGTTATAATTCTCATAACAACTGCTGGTGATGCAAAAAATGCAAAGTAACAATTATCATCATGACTGCCGGCGATGCATAGTAATAAATATCAGCAGCCCTAATGTTGGGTAATAATTTGCATCATCAAAAGCATGATCATTATCGTGATGCTCTTCTTTTTCCCCAACAGCTGAAAGCTTTGGGGTCTTAGCCCAGATAGGCTGCGGGGTGGTCCGGGGCGGCCCTGAGGTAAGGTTCCACGAGGGTTCCACGAGGGTTCCACCAGGCGTTCCACGAGGTTCTGGGAGGGCTGTGGGGTGGTGCGAGCACTATAAAGAGCACCGCCTGCTGTTGGGGATATCGCCTGAGTTTATTCACATATGCTTTAAGTGTGCCGTTAAAACCATAGTTGTTATAAGCAAGCCGGAGCCGGCGGCACAGGGCGGCAGCCCTTAGATATGTCTGATTCCGGTAGATATTTGGTGAAACCTAACCACTGCTGAAAAGTCAAACTTCTTTGGCCAATCACCAGTATGGCAGATAAAAGGCGAACATCATGCGAGACCCGCAGAAGAGACATTTAGTTGCCTACTGATCACTGGAATGGGCGGTAAGGCCAACAACCCACACAGATCAGCATGGTTGACCTCCAAGGTCCTTAGAAAGGGTCGTTAAGGCTTGGCTGGAATTAGGACCCCAGCAAAAGCTATTTTTCCCCAACAGCTGAAAGCTTTGGGGTCTCAGCCCAAATGGGCTCCGGGGTGGTCCGGGGCGGCCCTGAGGTAAGGTTCCACGAGGGTTCCACCAGGGTTCCACCAGGGTTCCACCAGGGTTCCACGAGGGTTCCACGAGGGTTCCACGAGGGTTCCACGATTCCACGAGGTTCTGCGAGGGCTGCGGGGTGGTGCGCGCGCTAAAAGAGCACCGCCTGCTGTTGGGGATATCACCTGAGCTTATTTTTGGCTGGTTAGTAGAAAACAAAGGGGGCCCCCGGGGAGCTAATTTTGGGGAAGAAGGGTCCATGGCAACTGATTCAAGATCTTCAGGAAGCCGGCTCAGTCAGCCTCTCAAACAACCACTTCACGACGCAAAACAAAAACAACAAACTTCACAACGTCCCCCCCCCTCAACAAAAGAAAACAAAATAAGACATAAAACAAATCGCGACTTTGCCGTTGCCTCCCGTCCCCTCCTCCCAACACAAAGCAAAGGACGAATGAAAAGAACAGGCCGTTGCCTCCCTTCCCCTCCCCAAAGAACAAGACAAAAGAACAATGGGCAGACAAGAACGACAAATGGCAGTGGGTCAAAAATAGTTTCCCAAAATGGCTTGCCCTGGCAAGTGGAAACATGGACTACAACCTGCTGTCCATATCCTGGTGGATTCATTTTGACCCATACCCAAATCCGGGTTTCCCCCAGAGGCACCGCCAAAGAGAGCACAAAGAAGACCAGTCCGCTGCCCATCAGCCAATGGCATTGCCTGAGCCGCGAGTCGCGGGGAGCAAGTGCCCCTTCCAAGAAGCACATCTGGCGAGGGAACTAACTCCCCATCCTCAAAAGAATCCACACACACACATGCGCGCATCTGCTCTCTCTCTCTCTCTCTCTCTTTTTCTCTCTCTCTCTCTCTCTCTCTCTCTCCCCCTCTCTCTCTCTCTTTTTTTCTTTCTCTCTCTCTCTCTCTCTCTCTCTCTCTCTTCGCACACTCAAGATGCTCTGCGTGTCCCGCCCAAACCCTCCAACCCCCCAGATCCCGTTCTCGCCTGGTGGTGTGGGAGATGGCCTGTTCCCATGGCTCGATACCTCCGGGCGATATGAACGGAGCGATACCTCGGGTTCCCGCGCTTTGGACATGACACGACTCGCCTTTTTTTGGCAGGAACCTTTTTTGGGGGAACACGTTGTTTTTTGGATCATGCGTTGCATGTTTTCAAACACAACCAGCAAACTTTGTGTTGTTGTTGTTTCTCTTTTTTTTGGGGGGGGGTCCCCTCCAGCCGTATGTATATATGCTTGTACATGGCTATGAATGTCAAGGGACCGTTTGACGGACATCATGAATGTGATGCATGTCTGCCACTTGTGGTTGGTGGTTCCCTTTTTTGTATTCACAGTCATATGGGCGACAGATCATAGCTCAACCACCCGTCCCTTTACAAATTATGGGCCGAGTTCCTCCCTTGCAAAGTGACCACAAAAGGCAGGAACTCAGGGAGTGAGACCGCCATCTGAGGGAAATATCAGGAAAAACACGGACCTGGATGTTCCACCTCAGCAAGTACGTCATAACCCGGGATATAAGTGAGACAATGGGGGTCGGTCGACTTGTAACCAGCCCTAAGGGTCCAAGTACCTTGTGAGGTTGTAGTTTTTGAACCCTTTTTGACCCCAAGTCCATCCTCCGAAGGTTCCAAGGGCCCCTCTGTGATGGTTTCCAGAGCCGAAACTTGGCAAGTATATTATCCTCAGACCCGTCATGGGGCTTGGCTAAAAGGACACCAAAAGGAACCAAGCTCTTTCTCACTTGTCCCCTTTGGAAATAACAAAAAGGTTTGCCGAGGGTTTTGCCCCAAACACCGATACCCTCGGATTGTCTGTTGCTCAGAGATAACACACACATCTAACCCTATGCCCTTCCAATCTATCAAGTGGCCTTTCGGAAGCACTGGGGGTAAACAAAATACACGTACGAAGGATTCTCTCCATCAAACATCCAGTTTTCCATCTTAGGATCCAATAGAAAAACCAAAGGCAACCCACCTGTTTTAGGTGTTCCCTTGGTTTTTAGAGAGGCACCCAAGTAAACAGTTTCGACCACCATAAAAGGCATGTTCTTGGGTCCCATTACATGGGTGTGTCAAAATAGGGAGACGGATTCCAAAATGGTAGCTTTCCATTCGCCTCCCCTTCAAACCAACCTGAAAGAATGCTCCCTGAAAGACCACCCCCACGCCCGCACCTACTTGGGTATCAGTTTCCCATGATAAATACACATCTGTCAGCTTCCATGACGATTGAAAAGACTGTGTCGGGTTCCCTTTGGTTGTCCTTTTTGGTTGACCCCGGATCACATCCTATTGTAGGGGGGTGTTCCCTCCAAAAGTGGTCTGAGTCCCCACTAAAAGGGGACACCCCCCCATCATTCATGATCGGGGGGTTCTCAATCAGGGGTCGACATTCTCAGTCGCCAAAGGACCTAGAATTAACAGGTGATCACCTTTTGGTGCCATGACTAAACATGGACCAAAACAGGAAAACCACACATTTCGGGTCGATTCGCTTTGGTTGCAAGTGAGCAACACTCAGCGCGGTGACCAGTACAGTTTATCAAATGGGGCGGTGTTCCCTTCCAACAGTGATAAATCCTTTAAATCCTCGCAAAACCAGGGACACCCCCTATTCATCAATTGGGGCTCCTAAAACCTAAACCAGGGACACCCCGAAATCATCCACTGGGGCGTCTTTCAGATCCGGGACCCGCCAGTCTCACTCCCTGAGGTCCCATTTTCACTTGGCTCCGGGCCCTCTTGGTTCGGCAGAATGCCGCTGATCCAGAAGCGCAGCGCCTGCACGGTGAGGAAGGACATGGACAGCCCCGCCACGTCGTTCCTCGGAGGAAATTGGCCCCTGTCCAAAAACACACGGTGTGGCCGAAAACAACTGACCAACTTTGTGTTGCAGCCTGCCTGCACTTGGACAGAAGCAAAAACCGAAGAAAGAAAAAAGGAAAAAGAAACTGGGCAAGAGGAAGATGTTGCAGCCTGCCTGCACATGGACAGAAGCAAAAACCGCAAAGAAAAAACATATGGGCAAGAGTGAAGATCGATTTTCAGCTTCCCTCCAGTTGGTGACCTGGATTGAGGTGTTCCGGGGGTCTCCGATTTCCCCCACTGCGCAACAAGCAGGGTTCCAGTCCCCAAATTCAAGAAATTCAAACCACCACTAGGTCCTCCAGTTGAGAAGTTAGAATAAAGGTACCAACCTTTTTCTGTAGTTTATTTTAGTAAGGGAACCCTCCCCCAAAAAAGGGGTAGAAGGGCAGTATACTGGAAAACCTAGACCAACTAAGGGACGACCCCGAACAGAAAAAAACAACTTTGGGGGGTGATTCTTACGCTTGACAGCGGCCGCGTGGAAAACCGACGCAAAACGGGCCGTTGCTTTGACGCTGTTTTGGTCAGGGGAGCTGGCAATAACGGGTTCTAATAAACGGCTTCCGATTGTTTGCACAGAACACCAGTCATGTGTGTAGAATCCAAAAGGAAGCCAGCTGCACTAGTGTGACCGCTCTGGTATATGCTTTAAAACCAATATAAACCAGTGCGATGCAGTTCTAACCAACAAACCTCAAAAGGACCTCTGGCCAGTTGTTACAACCCATTTCAAGTCGCCCTCTGGCGTTTTTGCTGCTCACTTGACTTTGGGGTTCGGGGCTCAAAAGCGTAACCCGGGAAGTTGAGCTCGGCAATCTTCATGTGATGCGCAACATGCCTGCTTGCTCACAACGGGGGAGGCGCTTCACTGTGGCTGGGCATGCAATTGGCTCTTTGTGATGTTGAGAAACGCACAGACACACCTGGAACCTGGAGCCTGAATAAAGCTCCCTGGATGTTGGGGGGAAAGATCAACCACAAGTGATTATTGCGAGTCATGTCAAACCCAATCTGGGCAACGTCCTGCGGCAAGGCTTCGATGCGACCCCCGTCCCCAATCTTCGGAGTTGCCCTCGACCTTTTGCCAACAACTCTAGGGTCACCTTTGTTATGTCTTCAAAGTAGCCCTGGCGACCTCATTCTTATTACTGATGCATGTGGAAGTGTTTCCCTGAAAAGGGGAGCCCGACCCTCTGGACATGTTCCTAATGAATCAGCCAAGAGTGATGAATGCAGGCTTCCCATGGAGTCTCCTCGAGATATTGGCCTACCCCCAAAACACCATATGCTACTGGATCATGGAGACTTCAGGTATGTCTCTCTGCTCGCAAACGTCAATGAACTGCTCCAACACCTCAAAGTGAAGAACACGCTTAGTATGTACTCAAGTAGCATGTCTGTGCAGACAGGTGTCCCTTGTCTTAAGAAAGCTGTTTACAAAACGCCAGAGGGTCATCAACTCACAGGCTTGGTGAGTAGCATGAGGGCCAAAATTATTAGCGCAATATAGAATGGTGGCATGGGATCTTTCAACACATGTTTTTGTCATGCCCCATCCAAGTAGCTTGTACTTTGAACCCTGTTTGACCCAGAAGGTACCGAAAATGGGATCCTCTGGGAGAAGAGAATCATTTGATATTTCTCGCGGCTACTTCTCACGAGACACTCGGCTTCCTCAGTCTCCTCGTCCCACTTCTCTTCGTATTCGTCCTTCAACGAATAGAACCGTGCCAACCGGGCGCTGGGTCAACGGGTCAACCCACTCCATTTGCGAATACGTGCCCTGGAAAAAAATACGTGCCCTCAAAGCCACCAGGGGAAAAAAACAAAGAATACTCATTGTTGAAATGAGGAGCGTACGAAACCCTTTACTTGGCCCTAGTACTTTTTTGAACGCTATCGTTTTGGGGGAGACCTTATCGTTTTACAGTGTTTTCGAACTTTGGCAGATCCGACTCGAAAATCGCAACTTTGTAGTACAAGTCTAGTACTGTTTAAATGGAAGCACTGTTTAAATGCGTTTCGACAACCTTGAAGAACCTTCCTTTGACAATCATTTGCGGTGGCCAGGGCCTGGTTGTGTACAAACGGCAACAAGATTCCTAGATGTTCCTAGGGTGCTGCTTGCTGCATACCATCAGGACCCTCAGGGTAATCCAGCAAATCTCAAGTAGCCTGTGAAAAGTCGATGTGAATCAAAAGGAGAACAGCACTCAGCTCTCAGGTGTATCTTGTGGACCTAGAGTCTCCATGATGCTTTAAACATGGGGTCATTAGCTAAAATACTAGAGGTCATGGGCCCATTTTTAAAGGGTGATGGAGAGTCTAGGGATGGGCAAAACAACATGCCCGTCCCTTTCCCAGATACTGTTCCCGCTTGGTAGGTAACCCACGGCTTGAACCACCCGATATAAAAACCAAAAGAAAAACAGCGAAGGGTTAATGCTAACCCCAGATTGATCAACCCCAGTTTGTTGATGCGGGGGGCAAACCACTCCAAAAGTGGTCTGAGTCTCCACTACACCCAGGGACACCCCCTATTCATAACCTGGGTTGATTAATATTATGGGGTCAACAATACCTACTATAGTGGGCTTGCCTGGGATTGAGCCCTGGATTTGTGGGCTCTAGAAGCAAGTGATCCTTTCCCCATCTGCATCTGCCCTTCAGGACTTTGCAAGTTGCCCGTCACAGGAGCTTTTCACGAGTCGTTCAACAAGTTCCCTCGTCGGTCGATTGAATCGAAAGGCGAGGTCTGTCTTGTTTGGAGTTGGTGCCCGCCTTTGTGTGGCGGTTAAAGGCAAAGCCTTTTGCCCCCCCCCCCCCCCCCTCAAAAAAAAGAAGAAGAAGAAAGAAACGCGCACAAAAAAAAAAAAAAACAACGAGCCACCCATTTGGCGACCCAGGGAACCGATGGGCGGGCAATGTCTGTTTGAGCTCCAGCTGGCACCTTGGGGAAGACAAAATTTTACCAAAGCTGGGATCGGAGCATGGCAGTTGTGGGAGGGTACCTGGAAGATCAGTGTCCTCTTGGACACCCTTGTAAGGTGCCATGTTCGTGGGAGAGAGGGTACTTCCTGAGTTGATTGAGACAAAGTACGTACTCCAAACTTTTTGGTTGCCACCAAACTTTGGTCATCCCAAAAAGTGACTAAGATCCAGGAACTCTCGGCGTGAGAACTGAGCAGATGGGCAACAGATTTAAAACCTGGGACCTTCTCGCCATCATCCATCTGGGAGATGTGCTCACGGATAATGTCGAAGAACCAGTAGATGAAAAGCAGGCTGATCGACCCAAGAGGCACCACCTCAGAGTGAAACTATAATGCTCGCAACATGGCTTTCAAGGAGCTTATGGGTGTGTGTGTGTGTGCGCGTGTTGTTGAGGATACCCTTTGCGGGGTCTTAAAGGGAAACCAGACGGAAACCGTCCCCCCAACAAAAAACACAATTACAAGAACCGAAACCAGCCCACCCCAAACAACAAAAACAAGGAGTTCCCTTGTTTTGGCACATACCCACATAGGCCTTACCACACTTCTAATTACACCAGGTACCAACTCATAAAATGGCCTCAACGTATTCGGCGCTGAGGCAACCCAAGGCAAACAATGCTTGTCTTTTGTTGGTTCCCATATACCATGATTTGGCTTGCAAAACCGTCAACATGGGGTGTGCCAAATAGAGGAATCCAACACATCATGGCTTTCCTTTGCTTCTCACTTTATTGCAAAGCAAAAACACAAAAAACTGACAAGGGAGCTCAAAGATCCAATGCCTGGAGACTCCTTGGTTGCCAATGTGCCCTCAAGTTGATCACCTTTACGGGGCCAAAAGCTCGCCAAAACCCGGGTATGTTTGTTTTCTTGCCCGTACCATATGCGCCCCTTATGTGTACCTCCAAAACGAAAACAAAGAACAACTATCTGGGACCCCCCAATTTCAATCCGTTTTGCAGACCTCATCGGTAAGAAAATTCCGGGTACCTGGTCCCCGGTGTCCCTGATATATTTGATGGAGGCATCCGAGCGGAGAAAAAGGGTGTCAAATGAGCACCGCCCAAAACTGGAGCTGACTTGTCGTTCTGACATGAAGGCGAAACAAAGCCTTACGACAGCCCGAATGAAACCAGGGCCTGCGAAAATGGCCCCAATAAGAAGCTGCTCAAATGAAATTGGCTACTTGGGGTCACGCCACCACACAAGGATGTGCGAAGGGTTGCCTTCCCAAAAATACACAGAAAACAAAAACAAACCCTCGCCGACCTCGCCTAGAGAGAAACCTGGAGGGAAACGCAGGGATACGCTGGGGACCTGTTTCCTGGATTTTCGGACCACCAGCTAAATTGGTCCAAACAAATGTTCTGCAAGTTGACACGGAACTATCCGATTGCCTTCCATTGGTCAGTGGCTCACCACCTGGGTTACAAGACATGGGGCACTGACCGCGTGGCCTCTGATTCGAAGCCATTGAATCCTAACTCAACCACCTGGATTCATGGCTGAAACGTTGTCTGACTGTGACCCTAAGAACGCGGTACTCAGTTGTTCAGTGACCCTGGAAAAAAAAGGGAATCCTTTTCGGGGAAGACAGTTTTTTCGTGGGGCAGCCACCAAAAACAGAGGGAGAAAGAGTGCCACTGAACATGCAAGGGGGCTTCAAAATGGGCCACACATCACCTGTTGGCTTCCCTTTGGCCAGTTCTGGGGGCTGCAACTTGAAATTGACGTCTTCCCTTCCGTCCAATCCCTAAAACCCACATCGCGTCCACGGCGCACAACCGGGCACCGGAAAAGACAAAATACGCTCCGAGGTGCGAGAAGCACATGCAGCGGGGTAGCGCTGAAGTACTTCCTCGGACCGACCGATCTGCATTTGGGTATGGCAAACAAGGGGAACCCACACAATGGCCTCAAGAGCCATACCCATTTGGGATGCCAATCAAAAGGATCCAAGAAAAACAAAATCTGTCACGATTACAGCATCTCACCCCAGCAATATTGCAAGCAAAACAACACACACACACAAACCATAGATCCATGGGAAAATAGAACAGCTCCCCGCGGGATTTCTATGGCAAACTGCCCAATCATTTTTGGCTTTTGGGGAGATATAGATAGCTTCCCCATTCTTTCCAGGGATCCTTGTTAGACAACCACCCAAAACCCTGCAGAAACGGTTGGTTGTTGAAAAGAAAGATGGCCGAAAGGAATGGCCATAGAAAAGGACCCTCTGCATCGCACCCTCTGGGTCCGCATGGATCTACTTGGCGAACTTGGCACCCGACCTTGGACGACCCCTTGACTTGGTTGACGTTGGAAGGGGAGTACACATTTAACTTTTAGCTGTCAAGTGGGGATTTCCCACTAAACCACAATAAGAAAAAATGCAAAATGTTTCCCAACAACGACCATGTTGAGATGATTTAGACCAAACCGATGCCCAAGAATACCACTGCCTGGTGGATGCAGGGAAACCTGCCGAAAGAACCGAAGGAAGGGCCTGGGAAATGCCATTTGCGAATACGTCCGCTGGAAAAATAATGTATACAAGTGTTTCCAGCAAGCTAAACAAAGGAAGCACACATAAATAGCGCTACCCAAACTCGATCTGGTGATATTGGATCAGATGCTGGGATATTGACACAAGCTATCTTACAGTCGTTGCTGACAGGATGCCCTCATGGAAGCTGACGATTTCAGAGATTGGAAAACGGCATTCTTTCTGTTTGGGAAAGCCCCCGATTTTGCCACTTTTATATGTTGACGACAGGATACCCATTTGGGTTGTCGACCCGTTTTGGCATTGCCCCGCAGATCCGGTCCACGCAAGGGCCATCCGCCATTTGCAGATACGTCCCCACAAAAAATATCCGCCGACCCTTTCTCTAAAAAGGGGAGGCGCACGGGAAGGGTAGTTGGCGCATAAGTATATCCAAAGTTTCATCCTCATCAGCATCAGCAGCTGCAGCTACGATAAATGTTATCGTCACGGTCATCGTGATCATCATCATCCTTATCATCATCTCTTTCTTATTCTCTTATCCTTATCATCATTATCATCATGGTTGTCGTCATCTCTTATCAGGCAGCATTTGGGTTGCAGAGGATGCTGCGAGGATCGTTATCAGCACAGCCGTTAGTGATGCTAAGGATGCTACGATGATAGTTATCACCCTTGTCATCATCTTTATCATCATCTGACCATCACCTAGCATCATCTCATATCTTACTATATGAAGAAACCAAAAGGGACGTTAGACATCCTTGGCAACGCAAAGGATGCGATGATGATAGTTATCAAGGAACAAGTACTGATGCAGAGGATGTTGTGATGATAGTTGTCATGACGCGGATGATAACGATCCTCACGCTCCCATTCTCATCATGGTCGTCGTCATCTCTCATTAGGCAGCATTGGTGATGCAAAGGATGCTGCGATGATCGTTATCATCACAGCCGTTAGTGATGCTAAGGATGCTACGATGATAGTTATCATCCTTGTCATGATATAAGATGATGCTAGGTGATGATCAGATGATGAGAAAGATGATGACAAGGATGATAACTATCATCGTAGCATCCTTAGCATCACTAACGGCTGTGGTGATAACGATCATCGCAGCATCCTCTGCATCACCAATGCTGCCTGATAAGAGATGACGACGACCATGATGAGAATGGGGGTCATCATCATCATCATCAGCATCATCACGGTGCTTATCATCATCATCTTCTTCGTCATCGTCCTTATCTTTTTTATATACGTTTCAAGTGTCCCGTTAGACCCGATTTGAGATGCAGAAGATGCGCGGACATGATTATCATGATGACTGCTGGTGATGCTGAGGATGCGTCATGATGATTATCATGTCAGTTCATCATCATCATCATCATCATCATCATCACGGTGCTCATCATCATCAGCTTCTTCGTCATCGTCCTTATCTTTTTTATATACGTTTCAAGTGTCCCGTTAGACCCGATTTGAGATGCAGAAGATGCGTGGACATGATTATCATGATGACTGCTGGTGATGCTGAGGATGCGTCATGATGATTATCATGTCAGTTCATCATCATCATCATCAGCATCATCATCACGGTGCTCATCATCATCATCTTCTTCGTCATCGTCCTTATCTTTTTTATATACGTTTCAAGTGTCCCGTTAGACCCGATTTGAGATGCAGAAGATGCGCGGACATGATTATCATGATGACTGCTGGTGATGCTGAGGATGCGTCATGATGATTATCATGTCAGTTCATCATCATCATCATCATCATCACGGTGCTTATCACCATCATCTTCTTCGTCATCGTCCTTATCTTTTTTTATGTACGTTTCAAGTGTCCCGTTAGACCCGATTTGAGATGCAGAAGATGCGTGGACATGATTATCATGATGACTGCCGGTGATGCTGAGGATGCGTCATGATAATTATCATGTCAGTTGGTGATGAATTCAGCTCATCATCTTCTTCGTCATCGTGCCTTATCTTTTTTTATATACGTTTCAAGTGTCCCGTTAGACCCGATTTGAGATGCAGAAGATGCGTGGACATGATTATCATGATGACTGCTGGTGATGCTGAGGATGCGTCATGATGATTATCATGTCAGTCATCATCATCATCATCTCTCGTCATCGTCCTTATCTTTTTTTATATACGTTTCAAGTGTCCCGTTAGACCCGATTTGAGATGCAGAAGATGCGCGGACATGATTATCATGATGACTGCTGGTGATGCTGAGGATGCGTCATGATGATTATCATGTCAGTTCATCATCATCATAATCAGCATCATCATCACGGTGCTCATCATCATCATCTTCTTCGTCATCGTCCTTATCTTTTTTTATATACGTTTCAAGTGTCCCGTTAGACCCGATTTGAGATGCAGAAGATGCGTGGACATGATTATCATGATGACTGCTGGTGATGCTGAGGATGCGTCATGATGATTATCATGTCAGTTCATCATCATCATCATCATCATCAGCATCATCACGGTGCTTATCGTCATCATCTTCTTCGTCATTGTCCTTATCTTTTTTAATATACGTTTCAAGTGTCCCGTTAGACCCGATTGAGATGCAGAAGATGCGCGGACATGATTATCATGATGACTGCTGGTGATGCTGAGGATGCGTCATGATGATTATCATGTCAGTTGGTGTTCATCATCATCATCTTCTTCGTCATCGTCCTTATCTTTTTTTATATGTTTCAAGTGTCCCGTTAGACCCGATTTGAGATGCAGAAGATGCGCGGACATGATTATCATGATGACTGCTGGAGATGCTGAGGAGCGTCATGATGATTATCATGTCAGTTGGTGTTCATCATCATCATCTTCTTCGTCATCGAGTTCCATCAGTTTTCATCATCATCGTCATCATCAAGTGTCAAGTGTCCCGTTAGACCCGATTTGAGATGCAGAAGATGCGTGGACATGATTATCATGATGACTGCTGGTGATGCTGAGGATGCGTCATGATGATTATCATGTCAGTTCATCATCATCATCATCATCATCACGGTGCTCATCATCATCATCTTCTTCATCATCGTCCTTATCTTTTTTTATATACGTTTCAAGTGTCCCGTTAGACCCGATTTGAGATGCAGAAGATGCGCGGGCATGATTATCATGATGACTGCTGGTGATGCTGAGGATGCGTCATGATGATTATCATGTCAGTTCATCATCATCATAATCAGCATCATCATCACGGTGCTCATCATCATCATCTTCTTCGTCATCGTCCTTATCTTTTTGTATATACGTTTCAAGTGTCCCGTTAGACCCGATTTGAGATGCAGAAGATGCGTGGACATGATTATCATGATGACTGCTGGTGATGCTGAGGATGCGTCATGATGATTACCATGTAAGTTCATCATCATCATCATCATCATCAGCATCATCACGACGCTTATCATTAATCATCTTCTTCGTCATCGTGCTTATATTTTTTATATACGTTTCAAGTGTCCCGTTATATAGAAATCAAAAGGGACGTTAGACATCCTTGGCAATGCAAAGGATGCGATGATGATAGTTATCAAGGAACAAGTAGTGATGCAGAGGATGTTGTGATGATAGTTTTCATGACGCGGATGATAACGGTCATCACGCCCCCATTCTCATCATGGTCGTCGTCATCTCAGGCAGCATTGGTGATGCAGAGGATGCTGCGATGATCGTTCGCATCACAGCCGTTAGTGATGCTAAGGATCCTACGATGATAGTTATCACCCTTGTCATCATCTTTATCATCATCTGATCATCACCTAGCATCATCTCATATCTTACTATATATAGAAATCAAAAGGGACGTTAGACATCCTTGGCAATGCAAAGGATGCGATGATGATGGTTATCAAGGAACAAGTAGTGATGCAGAGGATGTTGTGATGATAGTTGCCATGATGCGGATGATAACGATCATCAGGCCCGTGCCATTATCATCATGGTCGTCGTCATCTCTTATCAGGCAGCATTGGTGATGCAGAGGGTGCGGCGATGATCGTTATCATCACAGCCGTTAGTGATGCTAAGGATGCTACGATGATAGTTATCATCCTTGTCATCATCTTTATCATCATCTGATCATCACCTAGCATCATCTCATATCTGCCTATATATAGAAGTCAAAAGGGACGTTAGACATCGATGGCAATGCAAAGGATGCGATGATGATAGTTATCAAGGAACAAGTAGTGATGCAGAGGATGTTCAGCTGGATGGGCGCATTCTTGATTCTCCGGTGCGGCATTCGGGAAAGCCAAAGCCACACGGAATATGAGCCGCAGGGCTGTGGCAAAACCACTGATATCACATAGATGG